TTGCAGTTTTGCTCGGAGGAGTGAGGACGGTTTGGTGGTTTGGGGAGGGACCTCGTGAGGGCTTGGTGCTGGGAGGGGAAATATGCGAAGCACGGGGCGGGGGGTAGTTTTTAGGGTCTTACGTTCTGTGTATGATGCGTGTATTACTAGATGAGTTTTGTTGAGACCATGCTCTGCGGGGTTTTTAAGATTCCCGAATGTGCCGTTTGTGTTCAACATGTTGATTAGCCCTCCTGTGCTTGGGCGACATGTTGTTTGGACCGAGAGAATAGGAGTGTGGTACCTATATAGTTGGCTTTATAATTGATATGAGTACCATGCTTTGGAAATTGCCAGTCATACTATCTCGTCATATCCGTCAGTCAACGCTGAGAATGTTCTCTTTGTGCCACATTGCTCGGAGTCCTGGCTTTCTAGATCTGTTTCTCTAAACGGATGTGTCCGCACCCCTTGTACCTTGGGACTAGCGAATTACTTATTTGCTAATTATGAAAAGAATCTGCTTAAATTAATGTGTTCAGTTCTTTGCAAGCTATTTCGCTTTATAGATTCGTCTAAGAGGCTCTATTGGTTGGACATTTGTGCTGGAAAATGAGGTTATATTTTGTGGACTTTGATGATGGTAATATGCTGATTTGCTATCTTTTCTATGTTTGATTACACTTTTCCTCTTCTTCTACATTTTTTCTTCTGATTTAGTGGCAACTCTTGCCTGTGTCAATCATGATTATCCTCTAATTTCTTGTAACACATTTGCCAGTTCAGTCTGTTGTGGTTTATGTAAGCTGGAAGTAATTCATCCTTCTTATCTTGCTCTTCTGTGTTTGGAAAATTTTTCAGGTCGATTGAGATGCTTCTGGGCAAAAGGCGTGGAACTTGTTAACGCATTTCCTTCTTGTTAACTACTAATTCGAGTAAACTATTATTCAAGGTGAAAAAATGTTGGGTGCAACACCTATTTTACCCCTTCCTGCCCCACCTTTGGATGGAAATCTTGGTCCTCTTCCTCCATCTCAACTGCCTGAGGAGCAGGAGGAGGATAATATGGAAAATGAGGAGAATAGTAATGCTACGCCTGCTTCAGTTGCAACCCACACAAGGACAATTGGAATTATACATCCTCCTCCTGACATCAGAAACATTGTCGATAAAACAGCTCAATTTGTTGCAAAGAATGGACCTGAATTTGAGAGAAGGATCATTGCGAATAATGCTGGCAATGCAAAGTTCAATTTTCTGAACTCTTCTGACCCTTACCATGCATATTACCAGCATAGATTATCTGAATTTCGGGCACAGAGTCAGGCTTCAGCGCAGCAGACACCTCAGCCTGCAGATTCTGCTGTACCTGAGTCAGTTCCAACTGCCCCTGCTGCACAGGCTGCTCCAGAGTCGATTCAATCAGACATCCTAGCGCTGTTGAAACCTGTACGTAAAGTTCTTGAGCCTCCAGAGACAGAACAATACACTGTCCGGCTTCCTGAGGGTATTACTGGAGAAGAACTCGACATTATAAAGCTCACAGCGCAGTTTGTGGCTAGAAATGGGAAGTCATTCTTAACTGGGTTGACTAGCAGGGAAATTAACAATCCTCAGTTTCATTTTCTCAAGCCAACTCATAGTATGTTTATGTTCTTCACTGCACTGGCTGATGCCTATTCAAAGGTGCTGATGCCTCCAAAGGGGTTGACAGATAAGCTTCAGAAGAGTGTTGCGGATATGACAACTGTGCTGGAAAGGTGCTTGCATCGGCTAGAATGGGAACGGTCGCAAGAGCAGGCAAGGCAAAGAGCAGAAGATGAGATTGAGCAAGAGAGGATGCAAATGGCTATGATAGATTGGCATGATTTTGTTGTGGTCGAGACGATAGATTTTGCAGATGATGAGGATGAAGACCTTCCACCTCCAATGACTATTGAAGAAGTTATACGGAGAAGTAAGATGTCTAATCTGGAAGAGGAAGAAATGGTTGAGCCTGGAAGGGAGGTGGAAATGGAAATGGATGAGGAGGAGGTACAACTTGTGGAAGAGGGTATGAGGGCAGCTAGACTTGAAGAAAATGATGATGACAGGAAGATCATGGCCAGGGACAACGAGGAGGAACCACCTATGAGAATAGTGAAGAACTGGAAGAGACCAGAAGAGAGAATACCTGCTGAGAGAGACCCAACCAAATTTGTTGTTTCCCCTATTACTGGTGAACTGATTCTGATTAATGAAATGTCGGAACACATGAGAATTTCTCTCATTGATCCAAAGTACAAGGAACAGAAGGAGAGAATGTTTGCCAAGATTAGGGAGACAACTCTTGCACAGGATGATGAAATATCTAGGAACATCGTTGGACTTGCAAGGACTCGTCCGGATATTTTTGGTACGACCGAGGAAGAAGTTTCTAATGCAGTGAAGGCTGAGATTGAAAAGAAGAAAGATGAGCAACCAAAGCAGGTTATATGGGATGGTCATACTGGCAGCATTGGACGCACTGCAAATCAAGCTTTGTCTCAGAATGCTAACTTTGACGAACAGAACGATGCTGGAAATGATGCAAGGACTCTTCCTGGTCCTGCTGCTCCTCCACCAAGGCCTATGCTTCCATCTGTTCGCCCTCTGCCTCCTCCTCCAGGACTTGCCTTAAATCTTCCTCGTGTCCCTCCAAACCCAGTCCAATATGCGCAAACTAGCAGTGCATATCCGGTGCCTCCTCCCAGGCCTCCTGGTATGCCAATGGTATCTCCAGTTCGTCCACCACCACCTCCAATGCCCATGACTTCTGGACAGCAGCCCATGATGGTTAATGGGCCACCTATGCCACCTCATTCATATATGAATCCATCTGGAATTCCTGCACCACCTCCTCCTGGATCTCAGTTTACACCCATGCCGGTTCCGCGACCTTTTGTACCCATGCCTGTTCCCCCAACTGGTTTGCCCATGATGCCACCGCCGCCTCCTCCATCACAGGGAATGGCTCCACCCCCACCTCCTGAGGAGGCACCTCCACCTCTTCCAGAAGAGCCAGAGCCAAAGAGGCAGAAGCTTGATGACACTGCCCTTATTCCGGAGGATCAGTTTCTGGCCCAAAATCCCGTATGTGACCTCTGTTGTTTTTGCATGTCTCTGGTGTACCTATTATTTTCTGACTCTCTATATTTGTTTTAGTATTTCGATGTCCATGGACTGATTGAAATTCTTTGATTGTAATTGTTGCAGGGCCCTGCTCGTATTAATGTATCTGTACCCAATCTTGACGAAGGAAATCTTAAAGGCCAGGTTTTGGAAATTGCAGTGCAGTCTTTATCTGAAACTGTGGGCAGTCTGAAGGAAAAGATTGCTGGGGAGATACAATTACCAGCAAACAAACAGAAACTGAGTGGAAAACCTGGTTTCCTCAAGGAAAATATTTCTCTTGCGCATTACAACATCAAAGATGGGGAAACTCTTGCACTTTCTCTGAGGGAACGTGGTGGTAGAAAGCGATGAAAAGATCCCTGGTGCCACCAGGATGTTAAAAGGTTGTCTCTGGAACTTCTTATAGCCATGATTATAGCCCATGTGTTTTTGTGGGACTCCACATAGTACCAGATGATAATGTTCTGGTTGAAGTTGAATTGGCAATGTACTAGCAGTGTTGAATTCTGTCTTTTTCCTCAATCTTTAGACTGATGCTGTGGTATTTACTACAGATATGGCACCTTTGGAATTTCTGTTCAAGGGCATTGGGAAGTATTCTTATCTAGGCTGTAGGAGTTATCTGATAGTGCTACTAATCTGCTCATTTTGGACTTGCAGCTTACTGGAAGTTTGTGGCCATTTTGAGATGCTGGTTTTGATTTTCATTAGATGGATCCTGGAGTGAGAATCCTCCTGTACCTAATGGAGCTTTTGTTTGGGCTAGTTAAGATCTTTGTATGAAGTATCTTTTTTTTTTAACGACGATTCGGTTATGGCTTTTACGGGGGAAGTCGTGATGAAAGTCTTTTCTCTAGAGTTAGCTTCTTTTTTTATAGGATCCATTCTTGTGACATGGATGGATTTACACTGTCTAATTTGGTACCTGCAGAACATCTGGAGATGAACAGTCCTTGTATTCCGGAGATGCTGGTGTCTCACTTCGGCACCTCTGGCGCAATTTATTTTGGTCTAGCAATAGCAAGCAGTTGTACGACGGCTGTCCTCTCATAATATCTCTTCTTTCTAGCACGACATTCGTCTGTCTCGCTCTCTCAAACAGGATATTTCATTGTTTGTGGAGTGACATGTTTTACGAAAATTACTGATTCTATTGTATAACATGGCAGGTTGGATTTTGTTCACTGAGCTAATAATAGGTCAACTATTTGTTTGGCTGTGCCAGTTAGCTTGCACTTTTTGGTTGCAACTGACCTGCTCTTTAAAGTTACCATTAGTTCCTGCATCGGTTGAGCTCGTGTATGCATACTTGGATCTTTTTCCTGGCAAAAAAACGTAGTAAGAGACTTGTATGGGGGCAAACTACAGGAATTGCCAGCCGGAAATAGAGCCACCCGTACAATTCCTGGTCGAACGTGGTATCCTGTGGGAGTGAGAAGCTGAGATTGATCAGGTTCTGGGTCTGTGGAGAAATGTCTGTAACTTAATAAATGGTAGTTAAAACGGACGGTGACCCGGGTAATCTGTTGTATATAGAAGCTGAGTAATAAAATATTCGAAACGCCTTAGAATTTAACCAGAGATGGCTCTGCGGCATCTGATGTAAAGGACATCAATTGATCCTCTTTGGTATGAAGGACGTCATTCGACACCGAAAAACCTGGATGCATAGTTGCATTTCTAACCTGCGGAAGACTGTATTTAGGCGATCTTCGTATCTTGAATGTCTGCTTTACTCATTTTTTTATTCGAAATTTCTGCAACTGGCCTTTTAAAAGTCTTCAGCAAATCGTGACGGTGCTTAAATCATTGCAATGTTGTATGAAGATCGACCCAAAAGGAGTTCACGAACTGAAATGACTAGTTGGTTAAAAAAACCAAAGAAAAGAGGAAAAAATACCTCAAGCAGAATGCTATATGTACGTTTAAACCGACAATTTGAATGAAACTAAACATCTGAAAGGGATACCTGAATGTGATCTCAACATCTCTATGGGGGACGTATAATGAAATACAACTAGGACAAGACGCATCCATCTTTCAGACGCTCTTTCAAAATTCCTATAACGAGCTTTCCAAAGTTATCCCGACAGAAAGGATTTCTAACCGGATGGCACGACAAAACAAACGAGATCATGGTCTCGGCCAAGTAACTTCCTTCATTGCGTCATGGTTGACGTTCCAAGCTCCTTTGTCAATTTCATCGAATAGCTGGTCCCAACCCCAGCTGGCACACCCCAAGAAAAACCAATAATCAGCGACAGATCCATTTCCTGCCTTGAGTTCATCAATCTCTCTAATCGTCTCCAACTGGTCGACGAAGCGCATCCCTGGTAGGATTTCCAGGTACTGGTTCTTATTGGCTCGAGTTAAACTGACTAAAGGCAGTCTACGGTTTACAAGGGGCCCACCAAGCGAAAGAGGTGCCTCCTTAAGAAACTCAGACCCTTCTTCCAGTTCATGCAGAATATCCCAGCTAATAGGCTTGTTAATAATCAGACCTTGAAACCCGGTGACTTTATCCGCTTTCACAATGAGAATCAGGGAGTTATCAAATGGGTGCATGCCAAGAAGTTTCTCAGTAGCAACAAGGATGGAACCAACCACTACACGGGAAGCTGCTCCATCTGGGCCTTTCGATTTAGGCAGTTTGGTCCAACTGTACTCGACCGTTCTGTCTGCTGCCTTATTTTGCAGCAAAAAGTCTTGTAACTGGTCCTTTCCTGCGAGATTTTCCCCGTGAACCACATTAGATGATGTTGTGCTGAAAGAATTTTGACCCACGCCATATTTTGCCCGTGAAGTCCAGAGGATTCCTATGAAAAGGCCAATCGGGTTTCTAGTCAGCATAAAATGTTTTGACCAATCTACAAACAGGCAATATGGTAAATTCTGAGGAATGCAGATCAACCGAGGTAGAATAACAGTAACCAGAGTTCAAACTTAAGGTTTTTTAACAAAGGAAAAAGGGAACATATAGCCCAGAAAGTTGTGCAACACTGGCTGATATCGTGAAGAAAAGGGGATGGAACCTAATAATGGATGTTCTGCAATTATGGGAAACTGTGTTCTAAGAATAATAGAAACGGTCAATTTCTGACAGAAAGTAAGATGGTCCAAAAGCAGCCAGATACAGAAACTGGACATGCTCTTGAGGAGGATCTATTCAATTCGCACAATAGGGTACCATCCTGCGAATTCATCCATCTTCGGCATCGAATAAACACTGCGATGTCCTACAATAGGCAGAGCTCCCTGCAGAAGAAGAAAGCATTACCCTTCTCACTGATGAGGTTATGAGAATAACTTCCATAGTCAGCTAAGAACTTGACAATAGACGCAACTGCCATATCGCCGTCATAAGACACAGAAGTTTTATTTTCTGCTGGAAACAACACCAAAGCTGGGTAAAGTTCTCTCTGCAAATCCCAAATCACAAAAGTGAGTCTTGTTGTCATCGAACATTTGCAGACCATATCGATAGCTTCTTAGCAATACAAAGCTGTATAAGTCAACATATTGCTAAAAAGACTGCCAGCAACAAAATGAGAGGAATCATCCATTCATGGAAGCAAATTTTTAGAAGAATTCCAAATTTGCATCTTGCCAATTTGCTCCTTAGATTGGGTGCCTCTTTACAAAGGAAACAGATCATAGAGTAATATACTTCGATTCAGAATGCACAAGCTTTGCTCTAGGTTTTTTGGGACCACTAATCTATTGCCTTTGCAAATTGATCAAGGTAAACTCATGCTTTTCTAGATGCAGATATCATATCTAATTTGATAAAAACTTGTTATTTCCAAATTATTCACAAAGCTTTTTGAAAGATCACAATGCAACCCTATGCTTTCGCTAACTTACACGGACAACTCTCTAATTACAATTAAGCCCTTCCCAAAGGTATTGATCGCCAGCTTTGGTTTTCTGAATCCAGAATTGGTCTGGATGTATGATGGCATGGGATATTGCCCATGTAATTAGCATTTAGCCAATACATCTGTCATCACAAAAGAAAGGTACAAAAGTTTAACGCACTAAGATCGTTGATATAACATGCAAAAATATAGAAAATGGCTGTTGAGATTCTTTAGGGGTCATGTATGGATTGTTGAGTATCAAATATGGTTCCATCAACTTTGGATAACTGACTAAGCTGAACAAAGAGTGTTGTCGTTTAAAGATCAATAAGAAAAGAACGGCCTAACTTCACTCAGCATTGTTTAGTTCAAATTGGCAAATGGCTCCTTCACAGACCTTCCTTTGAGTGAGTAGTTTAAAAAAAAAATTAGGATAGTATCCTCACAAGAAAATGCTATCAGGTCTTTCGTTTCTTTATCTAATAAAGGAGTTTTCTAGAAACAGTTCACGCATTTTATTATAGATGCCCTGTCCATATGCAGTTTTGCACCCCGTATTACATGCGAACAATTGACAAAATTACAGGAAAAATTCAGAGATGAAGGATTAAGCAAATAATTTCAACAACCAAGACAAAATCAAGATCATTCATCTAAAAGTAGAGGTAATGAGAAAAAAGCAATGAATGAACTTCAAACAAGACATACCTGGTTCATTGCTTTGAAAATAAGACTGCAATCATTCATTGTGCAATCCATCAAGTAAACAAGAGGAAGCTTTTGAGCCATACCCTCCATGTTGTCTTCCATAGATGAAGCACTTCCTAAATCAGGTAAAAGTTATACATTTTTGTCTCTCAAAATATAAACCAAGTAAAAATTTATTTCTGAAAAAGACATGTATTAATAGAGTCTTGTCCTGTCTTATCACTGGAAGAGTTTTACATAGTCCTTCCACAAGGCCCCGATAAGCAGGACCTTAGCTTAACCTATAATGACATCCTAATAATGGTTGACCACCATCTCAGAAAAAAAAAGAGTTAATTTGCAGGTTAATATACCTATACATTTTTTTGCCAAGCAATGTAACAGATTTTCAACAACTATACATAAAGTCCATATATTTAGTGGCAGAACCAACAATTTACTAACCACAACAAACATGTATGAATGTATGCATGCGTGCATTTCTATGTGTGCATGTGCATGAGCGCAAAGCCAGTGAGCTTCATGAGAAGTTAGTAATATCTGTCCGATAAGTGTACTCTCATAAGTTGAATACCATATTATTTCCTTAGGTGCTATTAAACCCAATGAGTGGTTATAGTAACAGTAAGAGTGCAATGTAAGTGTTATTCTTGTCAAAATAGAATTGCACCATAACGGCTCTTAAGTTGTTTGGTTTAGGTAATAAAATAGTTATATTAAGTTAGCAAAAGGTAATAGCAAAGAAATGGGAATAAGATGTCCAAAAAGCCCTATCGCTTTCTCTAACAATCTGCCAATTATAATTATGTCAATTTTGAGGTTAGACAAGCCAAAAACTTGAATGCTTGTCCATATTTGATACTCATATCCCAATTCCAGGTAATATAGGAAAAAGTCGTAAGGGAAACGTGATAACCACATTTAGAATTCAATTCAAATGTGAATCTCAATAAGAAGTCGTGGTATATGTTGATTCAAGTGCCTGAAGAAAGGGGTGGGACGAAACTCTCTCCAACCATGCCACTGCTTGATAAGTTACAAATTATGGACATTATTCACATGCAAACTTAACCAAAAATTACATGTGGGTGGTGTCCATGCTTGTAACCCATCACTCAGAGGCATGGTTGGAGGGCATTTGGAAAACATAGCCCCCGAAGGAAATATTTAACATTATATTGTAACACAAACTATTTCCAATATTAAGTTTGCCAACAGATCCCTAATATTCATGACTTAACCAGAGGTTACTACACTTGTATTATGGCGCTTGAACAGATCTGGAGGGGCCACTCTAAAGACATGGATTAGCTTAGGTCTACCCTCAAACTTACACCAATTATGATCAACAATCAACTTAGTAGCACTTGAATGTCCAAACTTCCACTTAAAACACCAAAATGCTTTTAATTGGGTAGCTCATGGCATGTCATTGCAAGGTGAAAGAGATGCAGAAGAAAAAGGAAATGAAGTTTGCCTAGTGAAAGCAAGAAAGTAGATACTCACCAATGCTGAACTGTGTTTGAGCATTTTGAAATCCACGAGACAGTATGTTCATATAACTCCTTAAAGCTCGATGTACTTCACGAACAACTAGTTCCATTCTCTGACAAAATCCACACCAGCCATTGCTAAACAGGACCAACATATCCTTCCGCCTAGCAGGTGCAACATTACCAGTCTCAGAGTGATTAAAACCAAAAACCAGCTCAACAAAAGTTTTAACCGCTATCCGTGGTATAGAATCAGCCTCATGAAAATCCAAATTTACGAAGGGGGGGCGAGCAGCATCCCGAGGCATCGTTATCAGAGACTCGAAGTGCTGATACGGGAGAAGACTACCATTCAAATACCTATCTAGGAAGTTAGCCAGTGGAGTGTAGCTAAAATGCATCTGATCTGGGAACAGATAGTGGCATTGCAAAATCGGATCAATTATTACCAAGGATGGAACCTTCAACCCTCCAGTCAAGGCCTTCAGCAGCCGGTAATTACCATCCAAAAAGTAAAATGAACCTTCCAAGCCTCGTGACTGCAGCTGTCCCCTTATTTTATCTACCTTTGATAAATGTATTTCATCCACCCTGATATCTTCAAGATTATCAAGTTCAGTATTGGTAAAAATGTGCTCACTCTCAGCAGATGTTAAATCATCGCTCGAATTAGCAGTGTCTATCTTCTCTTCATCATAACGCAAAGGTTCTGAACCAGTGGGAATCATATTTTCCCCAGGTCCTGCAGCTGATGTGCTCATAATATTTATTACTTTCTCCTGGTCCCGATCAATCTGACTTACCAGGTCTTCCTTGGAAAGTTCAACTGAAGCCTGGTTAGGCTCAATTTCTGTCTGAGACGACAATGGATTTGATATTTTAATCTCAAAATCATCAGACAGAAGTTGGAAGCCTGCCTTCTTGGCGAGTGAGCTCAACCTGGCTGCCTTGTTTCTCTGAAGAAGATTTTCCAAAACTTCATGCAAAGAACTTCCTTGCACATCAGTAGTGATCTTACCTAAAGTTGCATGCTTTTCGTCATTCACTATCATGATAGACACCTTATCCCCTAAGTTTACACTCTGAGATGATTGGTATAGTTTTAACTTAGGATGCCTAGATGTACTTTCCAGTGCTTTAGGCTGCCTACTCATGCTTCTTGATGACAGATGTGAATGGACTGAAAATTTTCCCAGCTCTTCTTTATTCTTTTCACGCATGTGAGCAGGAATATGGTACTGCAGCGCCAGTTTTCTAAAAGCATCGAATGCTTCCTTACTCTTAATTCTCGTTTCTGATGAGTCCGATGACCTATCCACAAAAAGAAGTATCGATGGCTTATTTGCTGGTAAAGCAGGCTCTAAGTTACGCTCGTTATCTTCCAACTACAAGATATAAAAATGGTATTTAGTTCAATAAAAAATGGAAACATGCTGCCACTAAACTAAAACACAAATGCACAATGCCCAGAGATTCTTCTAGGCCTAGAAATATTAAAAGCCATAATAAGTATCTGGAGCTTCCATAACTTGTATATCTGTAGCAGAAAGAACTTTCTGTTTTTACAGAATATTCAAGTTAAATGGTTGTTTCAGAAATGAAGCTGAAGTAGTAGATCAAGAGGAAATTGAAGACTCAGCCAAGATTAGGGTAAGGTAGTTATAGGTCCCAGAAAAACAATTTCCTCTTCTTAAAAATAAGCAGTACAGTCAAAGTTGACCTAAACTAGTGAGTGATTCCACTTAAAAATACAGACTAGCTCAACCTGGCCGCGGTCATAGGGTTCATGATACATAATCTCTCCTGAGAATGCATTTCAACACGCTCTAAGAGTCTCCAATTAGCATGACTGGAATCTATTATCACCTCTCTACAACAAAGATGTGACTACTCTAATGCTCAGAACTGCAACTCACCACTCAGCTCTATCTCTGAGGCCAGATAAATTTCATATGACTATACATTCTATTCATCTGGAATTTTTTCTTCTCGATAAACTTGGTCTAAGTCATAAGGAGTGCCCAAGTCAGTATACATATACATATACATGTACATGTACATATCTATATATGTACCTATATATATATATAGGGATAAGTGCATTCAAAGTCCTAAAACTTGTCACGAAAGTGTAATTGAGTCCTAAAACTTTCAAAAAGTGCAAACAAGTCTTAAAACTTATCACGAAAGTGCACTTGAGTCCTAAACCTTTCAAAAAGTGCAAACAAGTCCTAAAACTTGTCAAATTGGTTCGATCAAGTCCTTCCATTGATTGTACTTTTTGAAAGTTTTAGGACTTGTTTGCACTTTTTGAAAGTTTTAGGACTCAAGTGCACTTTCCTAACAAGTTTTAGGACTTTTTTGCACTTTTTGAAAGTTTTAGGACTCAGTTGCACTTTCGTGACAAGTTTTAGGACTTCTAGTGCACTTATCCCATATATATATCAAGGACCTTAAACGTTCAGTTTACCAGAGCAACAAGTGGTACAGAATTTATAGAAATCAAGGATGACAGCTTAATGGAAGACTCACTTCAGCAACTGCCGGATCTTCCATCTGCAGAAACCTCTCAAAGTCGTGCTCTTTCTCGAGATACTTTGAGCAACTGGGACATCCAGCATAATGTATCATTGCTGACCATGAATTAATTTCTCCAACCCCCAATGACAAAAGTAATGATCTATTTGTAATCAGACCAAATCTATGTCTCTTAGGTGGCAGTAAAAACTCTCTTGCAGCTGTCATGAACTTTGAGAAGAAAGATTCAAATTGTTGAAACTCTCCGAAATTACATGAGACTCCAGCCCCGTGCCTCTCGTCCTCAGCGCTGTCCGTAGTAGAATTATTATTGTCTGAGCTTAATTCCCCAAATGAAGGGATCCCATAGAATCCATTTTGGATCCCACATTGTGCGACACCATTTTCCAAACTCTGCCCCAAAAATATGCAGGGATCATTAGACAAACTCGTTGATTTGTTTTTCACAAAGCAAAATCATACTGAGTGCAAGTAAAGTACCAGCCACCTTCTGCTTCTTGTTTCCAATAAATGCTGACATTCTGTCCGTCTTTTCATGGTAATTGACTTCAACAATATCCCCTGCAAAAGTTCAGTTCTATTGGTCTTTAGCAACATTTCGTAACAATGTATCATATGAGTTTGTGGATAAAAAATCAATGTACCCACAAGCCTGATATGAATTTTTAAAATCAACTTATATAAGTGGCTAAAAAGAAGGGTTGAGCCCACATCTCAACCTCTAACTTAGTGTTTTTGCAATGTCTCTATATCTTTTTTGGCGTAATCAATTCCTTCCAACAACTAACATGTCAAATTGTTGACGTGGCAATTGACAAGTGGTGAATATAGTAGGAAGAGGAGAGAGAAAGAGCACCGGGCATTCAACCACGTCAATTTTTGCTACATTAGAATTTGAAGAGTTAAGCAACAAGTGGTGACAGAAGGACTTGATCGCACAAATTCAGCATTAAATGTAATGAATGGCAACAGAAGGACTCCATACCACTACAGAAATAATTGGATGGGGAAATTGAAAAGGCACTACAAGTTAGGGGACAAAAAGGGGACTTAACCACGTAAAAAGAACGACAAAATGTCTTATAAATTTGTGATTAGATAGCACCAAAAAGAATAATGGGAGAGGCTATCCTCAGCATATTAGGATGAGTGCATGCCATTGCCAAACTTCCTTTGCCTCTAGGGCCAAAGCATACAGCGACTGGTTATAAAATACAAAGTAGTGGACTCAAATTATGTTGGGCAAATATAATTTATAGCACAAACAGAATCATTAAGTATTATCTGAGTAATATTGACTATTCAACAGTACCTTAATAAGGCGATCAGCATGTTCAGTCAAAACCAGGAAATCTGTCTATTTAATACAACAACACTTCGTTTAGCATTGCTAGCAAAGATAAACATACCCTGTGAACCATAGCCATGTTCAGTACCATTCTTCCTCGCCCTAATCAGCAATTCTGGAGCCCATCCACAAAATTCCAGAAGAAGTAAAGCTCTGTCTGTCGATTCAAGGAAGCTTTTCAAGTCTTGTTCAAATTTGATAAGTTCAAGGGGAAGATTTTCAGGAGGAACTGTCAAATAAGGATGAAGTGACGACAATATATTCTGTGCCCGAAGTCTTCCGCGATACTTGTAAGATGCAGAATGGTGATAATACATAATCGTGGTTTCCTGTTCCTGGGAAGCACCTATAGCATCCGCCAGCATCTTTTCCACATTTTTGTACATAAACATCGGCCTCAAGGAGCCGAGTTCGTCTTTCCTTTTATGGAGCGAATGAGCAATCTCTTTCATGAGGGATCGAGACTCACCAGACCCTACATGTGAAAAGCTGAGATGAAAGATCTACGAAGAGGCTTTGTTGTAGTAGGGCCTACTTTTACTCCTACGACCCAACGTATTTCGACTCTTTAATTGAGGCCAGCATGGCCATGTGTATATAATATGACAAGTGACGGTCACGGGTGTGGTGACTCACTATCATACCAAGCATGTCATGTTGACGTTTTATGAAATCATCTTGGACACCAACACATCTTCATAAAACTTTTAAGCACAAAACAGACATAATTTTCAAGTGAAAGCGACAAAAGAGGTCAAAGACAATGTACATCAACACCAAATGGTAATGCATCGAGGCCATTTCTGTCCACCGCTCTTCTCATGGAACTATACATGGACGTCACCGCTCATACAGCTCATTCAGTCCACGAATTGTTAGTACTCTTTTTTTGCCTCAACTGATAGCATCCGCAACTAGCATGTTTACATTTCAAGACTAAATGTTCAAAATCGAAATATTGATCAAGTCAGACACAAACACCAATCACCATGCCCCTATAACTAGTCAGAATGACAAAGCCAAAGAGTTCGACATGAAGCTCTTTATTCTACGACATAGGTATTGCAAGGATGTTTGCTACATGAACCCCCGCAATACAAATTAACGAAACGAAACTTGAACTGACTTAAAACGAAATAGCCAACCAGGGACAAAACTTGCACTGCACCAATATCGACGATCGCGCGAAACTAAGCTGCTGAAAAACTCAATAAGGAAAGGGTATTGAGAAAATCCAACAATTAAGCTGCATCATTAGACTCTCCGACATAGAAAGCGTCAATCACAAGCTAAGCTAACGCAAAGAACGCAAAGAGCGCCATGTGAGGATCGAACCGAGCTCCGGAAACACTCGAGCTCGGTCGAACGAACGACTCGGCACGCCAATGATAAGCCTTTAGTAGATGTCCGGTCACAGGGAACTTACAAGGAAGAGTGACGAGGGGGAGGATGTGAGGGTGGTGCCTGATCTCAGAAGAGAAGTTCTGCTTGGTGACGAGCTTCCACTCGGGGAAGCTGCCGGGCTCGGGATCGGGGGTCGCCGGCGACGCGGGGGCCGGGATAGAAGCGAGGGCCGACAGGAGCAGCAGGAGCAGCGGCTTCATCGGTACTCTTCGGTAATGCACGATCGGCGACGCGAAGTGCGATGAGGTCTCTTCGAAGCTCGAGAGGCTTTGAATTGCCTCCTCTGGTTCGCTCTGGGGTTTTTGGCCGTCGCGAGCCTGCGGAGGAAGAAGAAGGGGATCCGGCTGCGATCCACCGGCGTTCACCGAACCTTCCACTTCCTTTGCGATTGCGATAACGATCCAAATATTTCCTCAACTTTAGTTCAATACACAGCAAGATCTTTGAACTGAATATTAACTTAACATGCAATTTTTAAATTTTTATTATCGATATTATCCATACATTCCAATACTAAATTATATATATTGTCAAAAAATTTATAATTAAATTAGTAAATTTTCAAGGTTTAGACTTAAATTCATACAAATGAAGTGTTTTTTAGGACTAAATCGGCAAATTATCAAAAAATTTAGAACTAAATTGGTATAATTGAAAAAGTTATCACTGAATTAATCACAGTATAATAAGTTTAGGAATTTTTGAATAATTTTTCCTAAATAAAAAAGCCGCTTCAGTCCCAAAAAGCAAAACAAATGTGAGGGGGCTTGATGTCGCACTTATTTTTCAATTTTGTCAAACAAGTCCTAAATGCAAATATGTCCCTAAGTCAAGCCAACTTGTTTCAATAAAAAAAAGTCAACTTGTACACATATAATCCCAATAACACTAAAAAGTATTTTCGGGACTCAATAACAATATAATAGTCTTTTTGTTTCGTGAAAAATGTATTATTGTTGGAAAATATTTTTCAAGAAACAATGACTTCATTTTTCAGTATTTAGTTAAAACTTGAAAAAGATATGGAAAGTATTTTCTGTCATTTGGTAATGAAAATCATATGGGAATAATTATAAACAAAATTCATATTTTTATATACTTTTCTTTTCTTTTCTTTTTTGTCTTTTTATTTCTTCCTTGGCCGATAGCTAGCCACGGCGACAGGGTCAGCAATCAGCAACAAGCGAGCTGAAGCCTCGCCCGCTAGAGGTTGCGAGCTCAGAGGGGCGATTGTCCAAGGAAGAAGCAAAAAGAAAAAGAAAAAAAGAAAGAGAAAGTAAACAAAAAAATAAAAGAAATAATTAAAAATTTGATATTTTAAAAATATTTTTATAAGAACAAATTTCATTAACCAATGACCCAAGCTTGAGACCCGGGCCTATGGGTCAGGACCAGAGCTCAAGCGTCGAGGACCCGAGCATGACCTCAAAGAGCATTGGATATAGGCACCTTGATGGACTTGGGTGTGGGCAGCCCGGGGATCAACCCATGGTGACGTGGTTGTGAATGACAGAACCTGGGAACTAACTTTGGGGTTCCCATGTCCAATTGTAGAATTTTTGGTTAAAGTGTCAATACCTAGTCATATTTTGTAAAAGTGTTATCCGATTCTTTTAAAGAGGAAATCATTTTCCTGAATTTAAATTTTGGTAGAAAAGTTTTTTCCATTGGGACTCCGTTCGTTTGGCAGAAAATGTTTTTAGGGAAGTCATTTTCCTGGAAAATGGCATAATTTTCTGGTGTTTGGCTGAAATTTAAAAAAGTTTCGGAAAATATTTTTCCGGTGTTCGGCGACGACGGCCCCGATGGTCGGCGGGGAAAGAAGGAGTTTGGCGGAAAATGTTTTCCGCTTTTCAAAAGGGGAAAACATTTTCCTTACTTTTCTTTATGTTTTCACTCATTGAGGAGAAAATGTTTTCCAGGGTTAGTTTATTTTCTGCCCCCGAACACCGGAAAATCCGAAAAATGTTTTTCTGAAAAATATTTTCTGCCAAACGAACATAGCCTGAGAATTTGAAAATATTTTCCATTGACTCATTTTCCTAAGCGAATCAAACGCAGAAAAATTAGAAAATTTTTTTCCCGAAAAATGCTTTTCGTGAAATAAACATACCCTAAAAACGTAATTCAGGAAGTTAATTTTGGAAATGGATTTTAACATGCTCATTCAATTGATCGGCAATCCCATCAACATCTTATCATTAGATATTCATCACATATTTATAGATACGTGTGTTTCATGGACTTTTGTACCAGTTTAGAGTAAATTTATAATAAATGCATCAATTTGAGGTTATTCGTGGTAGTTAGAGGTGTCAAAATGGGTCTTAAACCCATATATGACCCATTTAAAAATAAATGGGTCATATATGGGTTACTTTAATTTTAAAGAGTCAACCTTAAATGGGTTTTAAATTTTAAAGTTTAAAGATAAATGGGTCTAAATGGGTTGAGTTTGAAACCCATGTCCAATCCACTTATTAGACCCATCCACACACTCTCTCCCTCTTTACAAAAATGTTTAAAAAAAATCGAAAATTAATTAATTTTTTTCTCTTTTTCTTTTATTTTTTCTTTTCTCTTCTTTCTTTTTATTTTTTTTTAATTCCGGCCGGTGGTCGGCCACGGCGACCGGCCACCGGGGCGGGACAACCTCGCCGGAAGCTGGCGAAGCTCGAGCTCGCTGGCCTCGGGCGAGGCTCGAGCCTCGCCGATCTGGCGAGCCTCGAGCTCGCCCGATTCCGGCGACCTCGAGGCTCGCCCGATCCCGGCGACCTCGAGGCTCGCCCGATCCCAGCGAGGCTCCAGGCTTCCCGAACCCCCCAAGCTCGTCCTCGCCTGTGGTCGGTTGCCGGCCACGGCTGCCGGCAATTGGCCAAAAATAAAGGAAAAGGAAAAAAAAAATAATTAAAAATTCTATTTAAAAAATAAAAAAATATTAATTTTTTTATTTTCTTGGATAATGACTTTATGGAAAATATTTTCTAGAAATGTTGCATTTTTCGTAAAACAAACAGAACCTCAATTTTAAAAAAAATTATAAAAAATTTTCACTAGCTTTGTATTGCATGAAATGTTTTAGCAATATAATTTAAAAAAAAATCATAAGAAACAAGTATTCTTAGATTATATTAAATATAAAAGTGTTTTAGCAATATGGGTCGGGTTGTGTATGTGTTAGGTATGGGTCGGGTCAGGTATGGGTCGAGATATTTACACTATGAATAAATGGGTCATAAACGGATTAATGGGTCAATTTGGGTCGGACCATTAATGATCCGATCTAAACCCGATCTGACCCATCTGTTTAACAGGTCTAGTGATATTAGCCCGTTTAATAATCGTGGAAGGAATCAAACGTAAAATCACTTTATAAAGGTTAATTAAGAAAAGGAAAGGAAAGTGAATGTATCCATCCCCAAAGCTTGAGGAAGAGAGAGAGAGAGTGATTCCGTTGCGGGGTAGGGTTTGGGTGGAGAATATGTTCCCAAGATAAAAACGTAGCGTCGAGTTGCGAGCCAAAACCGGAGGAAAAAAAATGAATGAGCTTCCTCTGTAGACGACGGAGCCGTACCACCACCGCCACCGTCGCTCTAAGGCTTCTCGCCTACCTCTCCCCCTCGAATCTCGCCGCCACCTTCTCCGCCCCTTCCGCCTCTCCTCCGCCTCCGTCTCCGATTGTCTTCCGGTTCCACTACTCCTCGCCGCCGGCGCGAGACTCCCTCCCCGATCGGACGCCGCCGCGGGGTGCCGTCGCCATGCCGCCAGTGGAGGAGCAGTGGCCCGCGAACCGGGTGCGGGACACCTTCATCAAGTTCTTCGAGGGGAAGAGGCACGTCAACTGGCCGTCCAGCCCGGTCGTGCCCGTCAATGACCCTACCCTGCTCTTCGCCAATGCAGGTGCTGCGTTTTACGGAGATTGGACTCGCTCAGTGTTGCTTTTGTTGCCTTATTTGGTGAAGATTCTTGTTACTTCCCCGAATTTCTCGGAGCAATTTTGCTTTGTGCTTGCGTATGATCAGGAGATGTTGTTGTATCTCTGGTTTAATTTGTCGCATTCCGCTCAGCGTGATGGTGTTGTCGGACCAACCGATCATGTGTTTTCCTTGAGCATGTAGATACTGGGAAAAAAGGGCCATTTCAGGATTTGGGTCTGCATTTTGTGCTTTTGACAGGAATGAACCAGTTCAAGCCAATATTCTTGGGGACAGTTGATCCGAACAATCCCTTGAGCAAACTGTCACGTGCTTGCAACACCCAGAAGTGCATTCGTGCTGGTGGGAAGCACAACGATCTCGATGATGTAGGAAAGGACACTTACCATCACACCTTCTTTGAGATGCTTGGCAACTGGTCATTTGGTGACTACTTCAAGAAAGAGGCTATCGAGTGGGCCTGGGAACTTCTCACAGTGGCAAGTGCTTTGACAATAGCTACATTTTTTGTTTTTACTTATTATTTTCTTGCACAGGCGTGCATATTAATACAGTGTTGACAATCTTGTAGCAAGTTCTTTTTGTTGTTATTTTTAGGATAGAAACTGTTTCAGCCCTTATAGTCGGGGAAACTCCTTTTGCTTTAGACCAAGTTCCAGTTTTACAAGACTAAGATGTATTATTACCTGAGCTCCTTCTACCATAGTCATTTAATGATTGAAGTTTCTTAATTTAAATGAAACCATTTGGAAATGATGTATTCATTTGTATAATCCGTTTGCTCATCAGTTTTCCACCTGTGGTCTCACAGGTTTACAAGCTGCCAAAAGATCGAATCTATGCCACCTATTTTGGAGGTGATGAGAAAGCTGGTCTTGCTCCCGATAATGAAGCTAGAGAAATATGGCTTAAATTTTTACCTCCTGGGCATGTCTTACCTTTTGGTTGTAAGGTTTGTCCTCTCTGAGATCTAAAACTGTGGTTTCATTCTTCCCCATTATGCCCGATTCCCACTGTGGGCTTGTTTGTGCGGTTATCATGGTTTTACATATCTGTCTGCATGGAGGAGTGTTTTTGACCACTATATGCATGCATATGGTGGCATGAACTGATATCCAATGACGGAAGTTGCATGTTCAAGCTGATGATCCTTGTTATATGTTTCACTAGTTCAACGATCTTGTGCTTTTTCCTTGATAGACCGCAGCTCCAATGACATAAAAAAAAACTTAGCATATATTCTCCTATACTTGCTTTTATCATGTGCAGCCGACTATCTTGCTTGATTTTTGAAGGAAATACAACTGTCAATCTTACATACTATTCCATCTATGTTCGATTTGGTACTCATCTTGTTATTCTTCTTACGACTTCAATAGGACAACTTTTGGGAGATGGGTGATACAGGACCTTGTGGGCCTTGCACCGAGATACATTTTGATAGAATTGGTAATCGTGACGCTTCTCCCTTGGTTAACTATGATGATCCTACTTGCATTGAGATATGGAACCTTGTCTTCATTCAGGTATGGGTTGCATAAAACCTCTCATTGTTCTCATACATCATGATTTCTGCAGTTGGATGACTGTGACTTGGAATCAGTGCTTTGAACATCAATGATAATGCGACTGCCATTACATGTTGTGCTTATTGTCTCATGTATATTTATTGATGTCTTGGCATTATTCTCTGTTTCTTTCTGCTTATATGTTACTCTCTTGTAGTTTAATCGGGAAAGCGATGGCTCCCTGAAACCTCTGCCTGCTAAGCATGTTGATACTGGTATGGGGTTTGAGAGACTGACCTCGGTGCTGCAGAACAAGATGAGCAATTACGACACTGATGTATTCATGCCTATCTTCGATTCTATCCAACAGGTATACAACTTCTCAACTATTTTTTTTATTAAATGGGATTTGATGGCATCTGTTGGTTATTGGTCGTTCTCTCAGTAGTCATTATCTATGTGTATATCGTAAGGTGTTAAAAATAACTTAAAAAGTTCATTTTAATTTGGAAAAAGGTTCATAATTTTTTTTTTTTTTGGCAATATGATTGTGTTATTCATCAGTTAAGTACCGGATTTCAAATTCCGACTTGAGTACATTGCCTATGTACTATACTCTTACTCGGGATTTAAAGAACCACTACTCTTTTCCTTTTCTACCCTTAATTGCAAAAGCATGCATTTAATGGTTATCTGCCCTTTCCTGGAGAAAGGATCTGTTTCAGCTTCCAGCTTTCTGACCTTGAGGATGAAACTTTTGATGGCTCTAGTATTGCTCAGCTCAATTTTCATTGAGTGTATATGCTCTTCCAACTTTTGTATAGGTGACTGGAGCTCGACCATACTCTGGAAAAGTTGGAGCAGAGGATGTTGACAAAGTTGACATGGCTTATCGGGTTGTTGCAGATCACATTAGAACTTTATCATTTGCCATAGCTGATGGTTCTTGTCCAGGTTGACTGCCACTGCTTTGTCTGATTTTTGGCCATATTTCATTATGCCTTTACCTAATTCTCTCAGCATCTTTTTTCAGATAAAATTAGTGTGTCCTAAGTCTAAAAACTCTTAATGTTGCCTCTCATAAACAATCTAGCAATTCATACCGTTTTATGCAGGCAATGAAGGTCGTGAGTACGTTCTAAGGCGTATTTTACGTCGAGCTGTTCGTTATGGAAGTGAGGTTTTGAAAGCCGAGGAAGGATTTTTCAATGGGTAGGAAATGATATAGTGTTTTAGACAATTTTGCAGTTGCAAGTATCCGTCTCCATTTTTAAAATATGAATGACCTCTTTTAAGTTGTCCGGGTATTTAATGATGCGTTGCACTTTCAGCTCTTGGTTTTTGTAGTTTGCAAATTCTAAGTTGACATACTTTGGTTGTGAATGATGGCAAATCAGTCTTGTGAGCATTGTGGTGAAAGTAATGGGCGATGTTTTTCCTGAGCTGAAGCAACATGAATTGCGTATACGAGAGGTAATTGCAGATGAGGAAGCTAGTTTTGGGAAGACTTTGCTCAAGGTTAGTGAATATTAACCTAAAAAAAAAAAGGCTCCAGTTCTTAGTACCCCCTTTCTCACCATTTATTGTTCTTTCGGATCTCTGGAAGTTTTTTTGCTCTATAAAAGTCATTCAGTTATACAGATCTGCGCCAGTTTTGAAAGTACTTTAAATAAACTTTGCTTCCCAAATTCCTTATTGTTCCCAAGTAAACTGAGCTTATTTTCACATCTTCTACTCAATTGAGAATAAAAGTAGTCCCCACTTTCTGCTGTATGTTCTGCATAAGGAAATTTGAGCCTTTTCCTATGATGTTGATTATAAAGATACTTCTATGTGGTTGGGACATTGTAAGACATCCTCTTTCGCCCGCCTGAAATAAAAACCTTTTATCAAGTTCCTGCTAGTTTAGATGTGAACATCTCTCCAAAGCCTCTTAGGCCTGACCCATTCCATCCAAAGACTCTCCCATGAAATTTTTATCAAGAAAGCTTTCCAGTGGTGTCGTTTCACGTGCCTATTCTGCCCTAATCATTTGCTTACTTCAACTGTTTAAATTTTGTAGTCAATGGCCGTGCATGTATGATTTTTTATTTAGATATTCTAATATATTGATTTGTTCTTATTTACCATTAGGGAATAGAGAAATTTAAGAAGGCTGCTCAGGATGTCCAGGGAAAGATATTGAGTGGACAGGTACTTTTTTAATTGTATCAGTAGTTGACAGTTGTATCAATGCCTTTTCTCTTCGAGAACATATTTCTGAAGTTTTTTACTCGCTGAATCTTACTCATAGTTCTTACTTTGTCATGCTCAATTGTCTAGATATGTTTCTCATATGAAACCATTTAGACTTGTTGTTTTGAAGGCATTGGGATATACTGATGTTAATCTGTCATGGTTGCTTTCTCTCTCTGTCCTCTATCCGTTTGCCCTTCTTCCTGCCATGTATCCCTTATTCTAATCCGTGGTAGTCTTTCTTTGTATATGACACTAAATTAAAGAGTTTCTGTTTGTCTGTATAAAATGTTGAATTGATAATTCTGAACCAAATTATGTTCACTTTTATTTATCAATTTTACAGGATGCTTTTGTCCTGTGGGACACATATGGATTCCCACTAGATCTGACTCAGGTATTGAAAATTAATGTTTTCTGTATGCTCAAGCTTGTAGTTTCTGGTTGTTTTGTACCCTGACCTACTGTACTTAATCCAGCTTATGGCTGAAGAAAGAGGTTTGCTAGTTGATGTAGAGGGTTTCAACAGCGCAATGGATGAGGCAAGAGAGAGATCTAGAAGTGCCCAAAATAAGGTATTGTCTGCTTGCACTTCGTTATTCATTGCCCGTAATGGTCTTAAGTCTTCCAAAGTGATTGGCAATAGAGTGAAAAATAATAGGGTTTTGTTAAGGCGGTGTATCCACCTTGTTTTTTGGAGGGGAGTGGGGAGGGGAGGGTTTGCTTTCTCAATTTGTGGTTGACGTTGAATTTATTACTGTGAAGGTTCAGGAAATGAGTTAAACTTTTAACTATTTGTTAGTGGTAAATAATTTTTTGACTATATCTTACAGCAAGCTGGTGGTGCTATTGCCTTGGATGCTGAAGCAACCTCTACATTGTCCAAGAAAGGAGTTGCTAAAACTGATGATTCCTTCAAATTTATTTGGTTCCAGGTTAGTTACATCGATTTCAGGGTGGGATATATCATATTGCTAATAGTTTTATTTTTGTATAAAATAAGCCATATAGTAGCAGTGATTTTGTTTTGGCTTTATGATCTGTTCTGTTTTTTTTCTTCCTTTTCTTTTGCCAAACTCTAAAGTAGTTGCAGCCAACAGAAGCAAATTTTCTCTCTTTCGAGAGTTTTTTTATTACTCACTGGATCTGAACTTACCAATGTTTTGGAAGTGTGAAATGTTTTATGAAGTAGAGAAGCAAGTCTTATTTACTAGTATATCTGTCTATCTGATTATCTTTTAAATATTAAGATAAATGCAGCTTCTATCACCTCTCTCTTTGAGTGTGATTCTTGAGCATTTGCATAGACTAATCTAAGTTTTTACCTTTTTTGTTACATTTCGCTGGATAGAACACATTTTATCTATCTATCTATGTATAACTTGGGATCAGGAACTGGAACTCTAATGTTTTTCTTTTGCTTTTTGATTGTCCATATCAGGACCACAAGAGTGTGATTAAAGCCATCTATTCTGGTGAATTCCTGGAAGGTGCAGTTGCTGGCGAAGAAGTGGGCTTAGTTCTTGATAGCACTAGTTTCTATGCTGAACAAGGTGGTCAGGTATTGTTTTGCTCGCGTGATCAATTATTTTCTTGCAGAGATCTAATTGGAGGCTCTTTCCCTATTGTTGCATGGTTTATTTTGAATGATATGATTGACCAGTGTGCATGCTTGTATTGCAGCAAGTACGACTTTTAAAATAGGGTGGCTCTTAGAAATAAGCTTGTGCCTTTGTGGTGAAAATCTGTAACGATCTTGCATGCTCATACCTTTTCATGGATTTAGGGCTGAGAAAACCCATCCTTGTAACATCTTTTTTTTAGCTGCTTGCCTGTATCTAATTCACCTTTTATAGTTACATTCCTATTTGTAACACACCTGCATTTTACAAAATTGCTGCGTGTTTGTCATGATTTAATCTGCCTTACATAGTTTCATTCATATTTTGTAACAAACCTTCTGCATTTTACTAAATCATTGCCTGTAGATTTATGATACCGGATTGCTTGATGGGCCTTTTGGCACATTCCAAGTTTGTAATGTTCAACTTTTTGGAGGTTTTGTTCTTCACATCGGTTCCCTATTGGGGGAGAGGGGAAAGTTGAATGTTGGTGATGAAGTCATATGTAAGGTACATCCACAATAAATTAGTTACTGCTTGGTAATTTTCCTATGTCACACTTCATCTGGTTTGCTTATTGCTTTTATACATTGGGCAGGTGGACTATGAACGGCGTCAACTTATAGCCCCAAACCATACCTGTACACACATGTTGAATTTTGCACTCAGGGTATGCTTAATTGCTAAGTGGAGTGGAGCTAGTGAATTCCATTTGATTAATTTTCAAGTTTAGATTTAAACTTATTTGTATTTCGTCTCCTTCTATATTTGAGTATCTGATGTTTGTCTTCTCATTGTGAATTCAGGAAGTGCTTGGTACTCATGTTGACCAGAAAGGATCAATCGTTCTGCCTGAAAAATTGAGATTTGACTTTTCTCATGGTAAGATATTGTTGATAGGAGGGAAATAAACAGGAGAATTTTCGATAATACAGAGATTCATATTGTAAAAATTAGTGGCTCTTGGCTTTTGACTTTGAAATTTTGGTATGTAGAGAGATCCAGTCTGACGTAAATGCCATTCTAGACATACTAGACTCCTCCTGTTCTTGATTTTGTAAATGGTTTACCATTCCTTTGGTGCCTTTTTAATGAATTACCTCACTATTACAAAAAAGATTGTTGGTTGGGGAGCTACTTGTATTATATATATATTTTATTTAAACTCGAACAGGTAAGCCCGTGGATCCTGAAGTTTTAAGAAGAATAGAGTCAATTGTCAATGAGCAAATAAAAGCTGAATTAGATGTATATGCAAAAGATACACCACTTCCCAAGGCCAAAGGTATCAACAGTTTGCGAGCTGTTTTTGGGGAGGTAGCTACATAAGCTTTTTTTTCTCTTTTAATTTTCTCGATTTTGTATTTTTCTAGATCACAGTTCATTAATTTCCGCTCTTGGTTCCAGATCTACCCTGATCCAGTTAGGGTTGTGTCTATTGGACGAAAAGTCGAAGAACTTTTAGCTGATCCAGATAATGAAGAATGGCAATCGATTTCAGCAGAACTTTGTGGAGGTAATTTTGTCTTGTATCTTGTTGCTTAGCGTTAAGTTCTGGATCCAGATTTATGTATATGAATTGACTTTTTCATTTTATGTCTATAGGTACTCATATATCAAATACACGGGAAGCTAAGGCATTCGCTCTTTTGTCTGAGGAGGGAATTGCTAAAGGAATCAGAAGAGTAACTGCTGTTACTGCCGATTGTGCTTTTAAGGCAATCGAGTTGGCAGACTCACTTGAACTGGAAGTAACCGATGCATACAGAACCGAGGGAAGCTTGCTGGAAAAGGTTGTTGTAGAAGCATTATGTACATTAGGCATTTGTTGAAGCAATTCTCATCCGAAAATTCTTTTCTTTTTATTATTCTCTGCTAAGCATATCTGGCCAATTATTCCATGTTCATGTGCTTCACTTGTTAAGTATGAGAATTGTGGTGCAGTCTTCCTATATATTGTATTCTGGTTGCTTGCTTCGTATTATCATTTCAATTACTGTCTATGCGATTAGTTCTTTGCCCGCATCCAGTTTGTAATGATGCAATTTTCATGCTTTTTAGATAGCTAGTAATTAACCAATCTCTCATTTTTCTTTCTTTTAGGCCAAATTCTTCTTACCTCTCATGCTTTTCTGGGCATTAACTTATGTTTGAGTAACACCGTAAAGATCACATCACTGAATTTCCATCTAGGGCAGTCCTCTCCTGCGGAACAAACAACAGGATTAGATTGATGTTATTAATATTGAGCGGATATGAGATATAACCATAACTAAGTTGTTTAAATCAGGCTTTCTTAAATTCCCATTGTAGAGGTAAATCAGTGCACCTATCTCAAAACGTTTAATTTTTCATCCTGCATTGTATATTGTGTCTATCTATTTTCTTGGCCATAGAGATGTCATTTATATCATGTGTTTAAAATGGTGGAATCAGTATGTTGGAATTTGTTTTCCATGTCAAAGGATGTTTTTGTAGCCTGAAACTCCTTTTCCTTGTCATCTCATCTGTACTTATCATATTTGTGATGAATCTGTAGATGCTTTTACTGATTGATTAAAGCTTCTCGTCCTTGTAGAAAGTAGCTTCCTTGAAGAGTCGTGTCGATTCGGCACCTATACCTGCAGCTAGAAAAGCCGACATCAGGACCAAGATTGCTGCTCTTCAGGTAGAATCTGGCCACTTTTTATCGGTCTGTTTATACAGTCCATTCCATTGGTTCAAACTTTTTTTTTCCATCTTTTGCAGTTCTTTTTGTGAAAAATTAAAAGAATAGTAGATTTGTAAAAGGGATTGACTATGTTCGTATTGAATTTGACGTTGGATACCATGTCTAATTCGTTGATTTTTGCGTTGTGAGATCTTAGTTGATTTGGAACTTACATTTGATCGTGTTTTTCCTTTTGGCAAACATTTCATGGGCAGTATCAAGTACTTTTGTTTTTGAATAGGTAATGTATCTTTTAAGTACTTTTATTCACGTTTTGTTAATGGCATTCTCTCAGTCGGAAGTGAGGAAGGCACAAAAGAAGATTGCTGAAGCGAATACGAAGAAAGCTGTGGAGGTCTCTTTGGAGACTGCAGAAGCTGCCATCTTGGGGGGGAAGGGATTCTGCATCTCTCGAGTTGATGTTGGTTTGGATGCAGCTGCTGTTCGTGAAGCTGTCGTTAAGGTCCTGGAACAGAAGGTAGCATTTTTTCCCCTGCTGACGTTCAAGTATACTTGTGTTTGCTCCTGCTAAATATGTAATGCTGCTTTAACAAAAAATGAACAGGGGATCTCGACCATGGTTTTCAGTAGAGATGAAACAACAAACAAGGTAGTGGTGTGTGCTGGTGTGCCAGAGAAAGGTGGGAATGCCAAGCAGTTGGAAGTATCACAATGGTTGGAAGAAGCGTTAGGGCCACTTAAGGGCCGATGTGGTAAAGGAAAAGGGGGTCTTGCCACAGGCCAGGTAACGAGCTTTCACATAGGCTTTATTTCAGTTCCTTGATGCTATGCTAGTTGACATGAGAGAGAATCTTCACGGGTCCCAAGAAACAAAAGGATGGTATGCTTGGAAAAGCGAATGATGGTTTGCCAGAAACAAATAAAATACAAAAATATTTGATTTTCCTTGAACTTATGTGTGTAAGTAGTGCGTGTAATCATGGGACTGAAGTTAGGAATACTTAAGCGGCTGAAGTTCGCTTCACTTGGGCATTAACTAGAGAAGTGTAATTGCACTGATTGCTTCCAAATATGCAATGTTGGTGCGAATGTTGCACTATCTTCTTCCCCAGAATAATTTGCATTCAATTGTTATTGGACCCTGACCTGATTATTCTGTCGCGAGCTTACCTCTCTATGCTGACTCGTTTGTTAGGGGACGGACGCTTCACATCTAGACGAGGCCATGAATCTGGCGGACTCATTTGCATCGATGAAGTTGAGATGATAGCAGATTTACTCGAGGTCAAGAATTGATGGTTGACAATCCAATTCTTGTACGATTACTTACTATAAACCATTTGGATGAAAATTAGTGGCGAAGCACTACAGTTGACACATGCTTTATGTGTGATTATAGGGGTTTTCCTGAAAACAAGTTTTTCTTCAATACTCGATAAACTGATGCAATAGATACGGTTTATCCAAAGCTCTTTCGTTTCCCCCCGATGAACTTGTGCAGGCGGAACATGACTTTACATGGTTCCGACCCGTTGGCAGGAGTGGCATATTAATCAATATTGAAACGTAAAACCGTTTTGTCGTTTTGTTTTCTCCTAAACCTTGTAGATATGACTCTACATGATCAGGATTGGGATTTTAGACTTTGTTTTCTTCGATACCATGTAGACATTTAGTTTACAAAGTATTATCACGTGGTAAATATTGCTGAGAGATAAACAGGGCAAAAAAAGAAAGAAGCTGCGAGATCATACGTCATAGTTATTTATAACAGCTGTTAGAAATCAAAAGAATTGATTGCTCTCTCGTCACTACCGTAATGGAAAATGCCAAGGGCATGTTTTGTTACTTGCATAAAACCTATGTTGTGGGAGTAACGTCCTCATCCCTTTTCTAAGTGCATTTGCCAGCTTTACAACAAATAGCACTCGTCGTAAAAGTGAGATAGAAAAGGTGATGTTGTAAAAACTGGGCCTAATTTGAAAAGAAAGCACTAAATTTATCTTAAGTGACAATTATGGCTCAAATTTTTTATTGTGTTATAAAAAATCACAAACTTTACTTAAGTCCTAAATCTGGTGTGAACAATTTGAAAATTTCACATCACGGAAGCTAATTTTGAGACTCGAGTAAAAGTAACAAAAAAAACTCAAGTCAGAATTGTCACTTAAGGCAAAATTTGTGTTTTTTTTAATTAACCCGTAAAAACTTACAGTAATTAAGACTTAAATTTCACATGGCAAGTACAATTTTTATAGGGTTTCTTAATTTCCTACTATCTATAGTTGTTTACAGAGGCCCAATTCCATAAAAAACCCCAAACTTTAATCTTTGTCCCAATTATATCCCAAACTTTTTTTTGTCTTATAAAAAACCCCAAACTTTTACTTTTGTCCCAAATCTACCCCGTTTACTATTCATCCAATTTTTTAATATTATTTTTTCGAATTTTTTTCTTTTTTCTTTTCTTTTCTTTTCTTTTCTTTTTTTCACCCTCAACCTCCTGCTGGCCGCCGGTCCGGCTGACCGGCCGAGGAGGCGGGGCTCGGCGAGGCTCGGCCTCGCCAGTTCCGGGCGAGGCCGACTCGCGATCCGGGCGAGGCTCGGCCCCGCCGGCCGCCCGGCGAGGTCGGCCTCGCCCAAGAATCGGCGAGGCCGAGCCTCGCCGCATCCGGGCGAGGCTTGGTCCCGTCGCCGCCCGGCGAGGTCGGCCTCGCCCGAAGAACGGCGAGGCCGAGCCTCGCCGGATCTCGGGCGAGGCTCGGCCCGCCGGGCACGGCGAGGCTCGGCCTCGCCAAAGAACGCGAGGCCGACCTCGCCAAATGCTGGCTGGGCCGACTCGCCGCCCCCGCCTCTGGGCTCTGCCGCTGGACCGGCGACCTACGGAGGTTGAGGGTGAAAAAAAAAAAAGAAAAAAGAAAAAAAAATTCGAAAAAATAATATTAAAAAATTGGATGAATAGTAAACGGGGTAGATTTGGGACAAAAGTAAAAGTTTGGGGTTTTTTATGAAACAAAAAAAAGCTTGGGATATAATTGGGACAAAGGCTAAAGTTTGGGGTTTTTTAGGGAATTGGGCCTGTTTACAGATGTAGAATTCAATTCATACATTCCCATGGATGGTGTTGCCAAATATAGTAGTTTACATATTAATTACTATTCATACTCCTAATTATCATACCGGCTTCCCTCCTCTCTCCCCCTCCTTGAATTCCTTTTTTTTTTTCGAATTTCTTCTCTACGCTTTCCAATGGCTCTCAAGTGCCATGCCACATAAGAGCCAGCATGGCACTTAACGACCAGGTCAGCACTTCAATTAGATTTTTTTTTATAGAATGAGGGGATTGTAAAAACAATTGCATGTATCGTTAAAAATAATTAATTAAATGAAAAATATTTTTATTATTAGCAATAATTTATGTTTAATTTTTTTTTATTCGTTCATTTTAGTAAGCGATAAAAGCGATTATTTTAAAAAAAATATTAACAAACGGATATAATATTAAGATGTTCCACGTCTCAAGAAACGTGAATTATGCTTAAGAACGCATGGCGAGTACAATGTAGCTTCCAATAAGCTGACCATCTATGTGCAGCTGAATGGAAAAATAATATTTATGCGTCTATCTCTCTCATATATGATGTACAGATAACTTGCGACAGAAATCTGTCGTGCTCTGAAAACGAAACCATGCAAAACCGGTCCAACATCAAAAGAAACAAATATTCCACAACAGAAACCCAAGATTTCTGTCACCTAGCCACCTCACAAATAAACCTCTCCCTTCATCGAGGAGATGCTCAGGGTATGACCCTTTTGGCCCTTCCAAGTCGGGTGTCGGCAATGGCAGATGAGGTTTCATACCCTGAGAGGTGACGAGGGACAAAATCTTTGGCAGCATCATATACAAGTAAAAGCAGAGCATGTCAAAGACTGGTGAATAGAATGCACACATCCTCATTGGACATTCCAGGATTTCCTGCCTCTCTCATGGCTATTACTGCCTGAAAATATTCCATCAAGGAGGTTTATACTCAGTGAAACTTCATGGACAGATAAAAATGCTAATGAACACATTGCTGTCCGGTCAACGCATATGCACATGTGTGACATATGAAAAAGAAAAAATCAATACTTACGGTAATGTTTCTTAACTTCTCCCAGAAATGCAGATAGGGTCCTGCGAGGACTGCATTAAGAGAAAATAAAAAGAGATGAAGATTGTAATTGGCATAGTAAGTTTGACATTTGACAAGACAAAAGAAATCAATTCGCACACTAGTATAAGGAATATTTTCATTTTGCAGGAGTGTATTTTTATGCTGGAAAAATAATGTTCCATCCATTCTTTATTAAAATGTGATACAGGTTGTCTCGTTACACTCATTAAATGAAGATTGCATCTCTTCTTAAGCATTAAAACAAAAGAGTACAGATATAATATACGTGAGAAAATTTGCGCCTATGGTATCGGAACTAGCAATACCTAGGCCACTTTATATGGCATGTCACTCATCAACCTCAGCTTTGATTTCTCTTTGAAGTTCCTCCTTGTACTCGTCGAACGTTCCTGGGAAAAATTTAACGGTTCCGTCTTCTACCACCCAAATTTCACTTCGCTCTTCATCATCACAAACACGTGATATAAGCCTGGAGTCATGACTCACGAGGACGACTCCACCAGTAAACTCGTCCAGTGCATCAGCCAGAGCGTCAATACTTTGCATATCTAAATGATTTGTGGGCTCGTCCAGCAGCAATATGTGTGGCTTTGACATGGATATCGAAGTGAAGACCACACGAGATTTCTGACCTCCAGATAGTTTTGCAATAGGAGTGAGGTGATTGTGACTGGGAAGACCAAACTTTCCAAGCTTTGCTCGGACAGCCTCCTGCTTGCTAAGACCCTCCTGATCTGGATGAAGACGGAGAAGATACTGAACCGGTGTTTCTTCCATAGTCAGTAGGTCCACAAAGTGCTGCGAGTACCTGCCAATTCTCAACTTCTGACTCCTCCGTACTTCACCCTCAGTTGGAACCAAATCCGCAGCAAGGAGATTCAGTAAAGTAGATTTCCCAGCTCCATTCGGCCCAACAATAGCAACACGAGTCCCCATATCAATACCTACATCGACGTTCGAGAGCCTAAAATCATCTCGACCTGGATAGCTGAAGCTGACCTCAATTAGCTGCAAGAGCGGTGGGGTAAGCTCAGTAGGTTCTGGGAAGTGAAATTCCACACTGTAATCCCTCCATTTCTTCGGCGCCTCTGCTAATGGTTCATCTTCATCAACCTTGCCCTTTGCCTTATTCTTTGATGCTTCCTTGGCAGCAGCGAACTTTGCTCGATCTTTAACTTTTTCCTGCTGAGCACGGTTTCCAGACCTCCTGGCAGCTTTGACCTGCTTCTCATAAATCTCAAATTTCTTGTTCATTTCTTTCCGCCGCTGCTCATACCCACTTTCGAAATCATAAAAGTTGCCACGATAGAAGTGGAGCTTCAGGTCATGAAGATGAATGATCTCAGTGCACACAGTGTTGAGAAAATCTCGATCATGTGAGACAACAACAAGAGTCTTCTTCCACCTGCACAAGTATTCCTCTAACCATAGAACAGCCCTAAGGTCAAGATGGTTGGTGGGTTCATCCAGTAACAGAAGAGTTGGTTGCACAAAAAGGGCTCTAGCCAGCGATATTCTCATTCTCCAACCACCACTGAACGATTTGGTCGGACGAGCTTGCATGTCTTTGCTAAATCCCAACCCAGCTAGAATTTTCGACGCCTGAGCCTCAGCAGCATCTGACCCCAAAATCTGCAATTTCTCATACAACTCGGCCAGTTTCTCCCCAGCATCATCTTCATTACTGTCTTCACCTTCTCCATCAGCACCATCGACAGAAGATACGTTTTGTAATATGGCTACCTCTTGTCTAACCTTGACCAGCTCTTCATTGGCAGATACAACTGCTTCCAAAGCGGACCTATTATCACCAGTTACCTCTTGTTCCACCAAAAGAACATCAATATTCTTAGGGACTGGTATCTTCCTCCAAGCAAGCAGCTTTAACAATGTAGATTTGCCCATACCATTTGGTCCAACCAGACCATATCTCTTCCCGTGAGATATCTTCACTGATGTGTTCTTTAGAAGTTCTTTCCCTCTGGCCGAGACGGAGAAGTTGTCAATAGTAACATCCTTCACATTAGCATCTGCTTCCTCTTCGCCATCAAGAACAGAAGCTCGACTACCGATAACAACAGTGAAGGCATCGTGGTCATCCTTCAGAGCTTCCTGTTTAGCTTGTTCTACAGCATACGCAGCAAGCGTGTCCTTCTTTTCTCTCTTCTTCATCTCTTTCTCGCTTACTGATGTTTCAAGGGCCTTTACTTCGGACCTCTGCTGCCGGCTGAGTCGTTTGCTTTCCTCATCAGACGCATATTCTTCTTCCTCATCAGAAGGAGGAAGGTCAAGTCCATCTGTATAAGATGGGAGCTTTGAAGCCGTTTTTGCCTTAGATTTACCAGCATTACTGCTCAAAGAAGACGACGATCCCTTCTTCGGCTTTTCTGGCTTTTGGTCCATGGTGGCTAGCATGGCTGATACCGATAGCTTCTCTCTCTTGCCATCTTTTGCTCCTTCCTTGCTGCCTGCCTTGACCTTCGCGACCGATGCAGATTCCTCGGATTTCTTCTTCCCCATGGCAGCAGTTGCTCCACTTTTAAAAGGGAAAAAGAAGGTTGTCTAAACCTATAGACATCAAAAAAGTACTTCAAGCCATCAGGTCCACAAGAACAAAAGGCAGTGTCGCAAATATTATCGCAACTATCCGAAGGTAAACATGGGTTCCTAATATAAGTTTGAGCTAGCGCTGGGAATGAACAAGGAAAGAAAGAGAACAACATAAACAACCACGAGTGAACATATCGAATCGGACACACGGATACCATGAAAGATCCAGATCAAGAAATCAATATGATTCAATTGCAGAACTACCGAAATCAATATTACGATTCAACCAAAGACACGAGTGGCTGAAAAGGGTCGGAAGAACAACAGAATAAAATCACACCCAGAGCACCTCAACTCCACAATCTTCCCCAGCAGCAAGAAGAACGAAACGGGATAAATTACCGGAAAAATCGGAACACGACGACACGATCCAACCGAGGACGAATCAAATCACGCAGCAACACGACCGGACAGATGGATCGAGGACAACGTGCAAAAACCCCCCAACGCGAGCTCGCGCAACGCGGAACGGATCAAGAATCCGCGCAAAAAATCGAAGCTTTACCCGAAATTGGAAACGGCGGAGCCCGAAGAAGGACGAGGATCTCGAGAGCGAGCGAAGAAGGAGAGAGCGAGCGCGACGTGGAGCAATCGGCGGAGGGTCGGTCCTGCTCTCGCGAGCTCCTCCTCAGCTGAGACGACTAGGGTTTCTTCTTCTTCTTCGCTGATTCGCCGGTTATCTGCCCGAAATCGGACCTTTTGTCTCCTCAAAAACAAAAACAAAAACATTCCGAAACAGAGACGTTGTCGGGTCGGGTCAATAATCGGGCCTGGTATGTTGATGCGGCCCGCCCGGCAAGGCCCTTGCTAAAATTGGACTAGGCCGGAATTTGGCCTTTTGGGCCTCCCGAGTCGGGGCGGACTTAGCGGGCCGCCCGCTTATCGGCCCCATCTAATCTTCTCATCGTCGGATCGATTCATCGTTGCATCTAGGGGTGCGCACGAGAAACGGTAGGTTCTGGGCACTTCCCAATTCCAAATTTTTGGAATCGGGAATAATCAATCTAGTTCTCTGCTCCAGGGGCGGAACAAGGAATTGAGTCACCCAAATCGATATATATATATTTTTAAAATTTTAAATTTTCTTTTGAGTAAAGAAAAGGAAATTTACAAAACCCTTAACCAAACTGGTCAAATCCGGGAATTAGACCAACCTATTGATTCCCAGATCTAAGTTCGAATAGGCCCAACCCGGGAGCTGATCACACCGAGTTACATCCATGTGATTATTTTGTAAAAGAATTGATGGATAAAGCGAGAAAAATATAGAGTAATTTCGATTCCAAGGTAAAGTGTCAACCGTAAATTTTTTTAATTAAATTGTGAAATTACAATGGCGATATTTTACAAAATTAAATATATTTCACCTTTTTCACTAACGATGAGATGTGCATTTTCTAAATACAAATAATAATTTTTTAGAAAATATTTTTCGAATAGTATATTTTTCACGAAACAAACTCGGTCAATTTTTAATTATTTTCTGCTCTCATTATTTCTTTTAGGCAAACCAAGCAAAGCATTAAAGTTGGCAAAAGGAGTCACTTGAAGACAAAACTCCACTTTAACGGGCCAGATGCTCCGCGTCTGCTTTGGACTCTCCCTTCGCCGGAAACTGATGCTCCGCGTCGCGCCGATTCCGTTCGCAATGCACGATTTCTAGGGTTTTCATCGTTCCGCCGCCGCCGCCGCCGCGGGTCCATGTGAGGGACGACTCCGGAGGAGCAAGCAGCGATGTCTCGCCAGATCACCGCCTCGCATCTCCCCAAATCGAAGACCCTCGACAACAAATACGTGAGTTTTCTCGTTCTTTCAACTCGCGATCGCAAGTCGCAATTGCATATTCATTTTGGGTTCTGGATTTCGTGTGCTGAGCGAGCGCGCTCGAGTGGAGAATTTGTAGAATTTGGGGGGGGGGGGGGGGGTGGTTTGGTCTTCGTGACGTCGTTTCTCTCAAATTTGATTCTGCAAAAAGCGCTCTGTATCGATGATTTCCACATTCATCTGCCCTGAGGCTGAGCTAAGACGTAGCATTTCGGATCTTTACTTCATTTCCCTTGTGTGACAGTCTCATTTCAATTGCTTTTTCGACCATTTCCACGCATGGGAATCGCCCCTTTTTACTTGTTGAATGCCATAGTTCAGTAAACCCGGGACTTGCTGCTTATATCCCTGAAAGAAGTATGGGAAGATAAACCTGGTGTTGGCTCCTTTAAGCAGATTGGACACTAATGTATGTTGTGAAGAGCTGCAGCTCGCATTTATATCCAGAATTTGAACATCCTTGTGGGTGAAAATGGAAAAGTTTAGACATTTTACAGAAATTTTCTCCTGGATAGTCATAAATGTGCTTGTTTCTCATTGGAATGTGCATGCTGCGTAGGATGTGGAGTGATGCTTGTTGAGTCCTGATGAACAAGAAAAGCTTGTTCTGGTTTTGTCCACTCTCTCTTTCTAAAGGAATATGCTCTCCTGTTTCTATTTATATCCTTAAAATGATTTGGGATTGCGTAAGGGTGCGTTTGTTTCACCGAAAAATTTCTTGATAAAGAGAAAGTATTTCCCATGAAAATCATTTGCAAGGGAAATGGTTAGTTTTAATTTGAGTTGGTGATTTGGGGAAAGTGATTTCTTTCTTGCCAAAAGGGGAAGTCATTTTCCCCAATCTAAGTTTTTTGTTTTCAGTCTATAGAAAATGTTGTCCGTAGATTGACCGGTTTTCCGTCATCCAAATACCGAAAAGTCAGAAAACAATTTCCCGGAGAGGTTTTCTTTCAAACAAACGGACCCTAATTAGTTGAATGGGTTTTGTTGGGTTATACATGAGAGATTGAGACTAAGTTTTTGATCCATTTGAGCCTCTGATTCTTATTTTTTCGTTTCCTCCGATAATCTTGTGCAATCGAAGGACTTTGTTTGTCTGAGAATTATTGTTTTGTTATGAGTATGGCCATTGAGAGAACCGTTTCAGTCTCCCATTATCTGAAAATTTGACCTTTTTCTTCTCAAAAATATTCCAAAACAGAGAGGTGGTCCTTGGGGTCGGGGCCGGGCCGGGGCTAGGTATCGGGACCAGTATATTAATTAAGCCCGCCGGTGACACGAGACTTACGTAAAGTTATCCCGGTCGGGCTGTAACTAAAGTTGGGTAGGCCTAGATTTCGCATGTAAAGACATTGCTGGACTTGCTCAATAGCCTTTTTGCGCCTCTCGATTTAGGGCAGACTTCGTGGGCCGCCCGCTTGTTGATCGCGTCTACTCTTCTCATCGTCAAATCAATTCGTATTCATATCCATACGAATGTTATCAAGAAACTAATGAATAAAGCGAGAAGAATATAGAGTGATTCTACTCTAATGTGAGGTTCATAAACAATTTCATCGACTACCTATTTCTTTAGTTAATTTGTGAAATTCAATTGCACAATCACACAAACTTAATATTTAACTTTTTTACTATGTCAATAGTCAATATATAATCCTTGTTAATAATGAAATGTTCAATTTTTTTTTTATGTTAGAACTATGGATTGGAATATAAGGGCCCGTATGGTAACGTGCCAAATAGTAAAAATTTCTATTCTTTTGTTCCCAGAAATAGTTTGGGAACAGAAATGCGTTTGGTAAACTTTTTGTTCCTGGGCACATTTTTGCAAATATTTCTGCCGAGAAACAGTTTTGGAAGAGAAACAAGAAGTAAAAAAAAGTTGCTTCTTGTTTCTCGGCACAATTTTGAGAACAGTTTTTTTTTCTTCTTTTTCTTTTTTTTCTTTTCTTCTTTTTGTGTTGTTCTTCCCTGGGCTGGGCCGGCGGCCGGTGACCGGCCACAGCCTAGGGCCGGCGAGGGTGTCACAGCCCTCGCCGCCTGGGCGAGGCCGAGCCTCGCCGTCGCGACCGCTGGGCGAGTCCGAGCCTCGCCGTCGCGACCGCGGGCGAGGCCGAGCCTCGCCGTCGCGACCCACGGCGAGGTTGGCCTCGCCGTGGGTCGCGGCACGGCGAGGATCGGCCTCGCCCAGCGGCGATGGTCCAGCCCTCACCCTCGTCGGCGAGGGCGACCCTCGCCTCCGCCTGGCGGCCGGCGAGGGCCGTGACACCCTCGCCGGCCTGGGCGGTGGCCGGTTGCCGGCCGCCGGTCGCCGGCGATCGGCCATGGCCAAAGAAGAAAATAGATAGAAAGAAAAAAAAAATTAAACAATTCAAAATATTATTTAAAAACAGAAATTTTGTGTAGTTACCAAACGCATTTCTGTTCTTTTCTACTCTAGGAATAGAAATTTTGGACAGTTTATCAAACGCCTTCAAATACTCAGAAATTATTTCCGGGCACAGAATAAAAAAAAATCATTTCTGTTCAGAAATAGTTCCCGGGCACAGAATGGTATTCATGCACACCATAAATCTTACGTGCTATAAATATGGGACAATAACTTTAGTATTGTGGCTGACACATTTCCCAGAACAAATACATTTTTATGAGCTTGGATTATTTATGCTTGTGGTAGTTTTTCCTTTTTATGAGAATCTCTTTTAGACTTATAAGAGAAACAGAAGCGGCTTCTTCATGTGACCAAGCACATTTCAACTTATCTTATTGGGTTAATACCACCAAAAACCCCAAACTGATACACGTGTGACAATTTTACCCTGAACTTTTTTTTTAACCACCAAAAATCCCAAACTGGTACATGTGTGACAATTTTATCCCAAAAAATTCCAAACTGGTACATTTGTGACAATTTTACCCTGAACATACCACAAAATCCCAAACTGGTACACATGTGATAATTTTACCCTAAACTAAAATTTTAATATTATTTTTTTATTTTTTCGAATTTTATTAATTTTTTTTGTTTTTTCTTTTCTTTTTTTTTTCTTCATCTTCAACCTTTGGCCGGTCGCCGGACCGGCGATTGGCCAGAGGCGGAAGCCGGTGAGGTCGGCCCCGCCGGCTGCTGGCGAGGGCCGCCCTCGCCGGCGTCGGGCGAGGGCGACCCTCGCCGGCGTCGGGCGAGGGCGAGGCCAGCCCTCGCCTGGGCGGGCGAGGGCAATCCTCGCCCGAGTCGGGCGTGGATGCCCTCGCCCGACTCGGGGCAAGGATCGCCCTCGCTTGGGCGGTGAGGACAGCCCTCGCCCGACGCCGGTGAGGGCGGCCCTCGCCTGAGTCGGGCGAGGGCGGCCCTCGCAGGATCTGGCGAGGGCCGTTCTCGCCGGCGTCGGGCGAGAGCTGTCCTCGCCCGCCCAGGCGAGGGCGACCCTTGCCCGACGCCGGCGAGGGCAGCCCTTGCCTGAGTCGGGCGAGGGCGGCCCTCGCCAGCGGCCAGCGGGGCCGACATCGCGGCCTGCTTCGGGCCTGGTCATTGGATCGGCGCACCTAAGAGGTTGAAGATGAAGAAAAAAAAAAAGAAAAGAAAAGATAAAAAAATTCGAAAAAATAAAAAAATAATATTAAAAAATTATTAGTTCGGGGTAAAATTGTCATAGGTGTATCAGTTTGAGGTTTTTCGTGGTCAAAAAAAAAGTTTGGGGTAAAATTGTCACAGGTATACCAGTTTGGGGTTTTTGGTGGTAAAAAAAAAGTTCGGGGTAAAATTGTCACACATGTACTAGTTTAGAGTTTTTGGTGGTATTAACCCTATCTTATTTTATAGAGAAAAAGCATAATATAACTTGCAGTTTAAAGAATTATGTTTTATGTTTCGATTTGTTAAAAGCGAAGATGATTTATTTTATTAAATGTGATTCTTTTGATGAACTGAATCGAATTATTTGAATAAAATAGCTTACACATTAAATGAATGATGGTTTACTTATCAACAACGTGTATATCTTTAGAGTGTGATTGAATTGGTCCATGAAATTAATAAATCAAACAAGGATCTCAAAATAATTTGTTCACTACCTTAATAAGGGTTTGGAAATTTTTTTCCACTTTTTTTAATCGCGATAGGTAGAATGCTTATACTAGGACCTTGTGCATGAAAAAATAGCGGACGACCTTGTCAGCCTTGAGATTCAAGCTTATCAACATCAATCATCAAATTACTATCTTGTTAGCAGTTTGATCTAAAATTTGTCAACACTGTCCGTCGGATTCGAGCACAATGATTGCGGCGTGGTTTTGCTCACGGGATCATAGATAGGGTCGGCCTTTCTTTTCGTTTTGCTGTGTTTGGAAAGTTATGGAAAATGGTGACTCTTTTTGTTTCGCGAAAATAAGTGATTTGGAAAATATTTTCCTTAATAAAATAATTTAATGAACGAAAAAATATTTTCATCATTCACGAAAATATTTAGACATAAATTATTATCAATAATGAAGATATTTATCATTGGCTAATTATTTTAAATAATATGAGCGATTATTTTAAAAATAATAATTTTCAAATTAATCATTTTTAGCGAAATAAACGGAACATGGGGAAAAGATAAATGGGAGTGCAAACTTATAATTTTTCCAGTTTTTTGCAAGGACGAAAGTGGAGAGAATATTGAGAATTTTTTAAATATTTGTCTACTCTCATTTTTGTCCATCTAGGGCTTAGATGTATTTTTCTAGTTTTTAAAAAATATTTTTCTCAAATTGGTAAAAAGTATCACTTAGAAGTCCAATTTGGGAAATATCTTAATGATAAAAGACTGTAACGGGCAAAGACATCCACCGCTTTAACAGGCCGGTCCTCGCAAGCGCTCGTCGGAATCCGAGCTGGCTTCCAATTTCGTTATTTCGTATTTTGGAAAGTCGAAATAAATATAATATAAATAAAGAAAACAAAAGAAAAAATGAATAAAACTCACCAACATCTCTCTCTCTCTCTCGTGCGCCTTTGGTTTGGCCTCTCTCCGTCGCCGGAAACTGATGCTCGGCGTCGCGCCAATTCCGTCGGCAATGCGCGATTTCTAGGGTTTTCTTCCCTCTTCTCGAGTGCGGATTCCGTCGTCCTCCGTCACGGTTCGTATGTGAGGGACGACCTCCGGTGGAGGGGGAGGAGAGATGTCTCGCCAAATCACCACCTCGCATTTCCACAAATCGAAGACTCTCGACAACAAATACGTGAGTTTCCTCCGCCGTTCCGTTCCGTCTCGCGATCACTTGCCGGAATTGCATGTCCTGCGGCCGAGAACCGTTCGTTTTTTTTTCGGCGATTCGTTTTGGGTTCTAGAATTAGTGCTGAGCGCGGTCGAGTGTAGAATTGGGGGGGGGGGGGGTGGTGGTTTCTCTGGCCGGTGGGGGTGGGGGAGGGGCGGTGTTTGTTTGCGACGGTGTTTCGCTCGTTTTTTATTCTGCTTTTGATCGGGCAAAGCTTGGTGGCATTGCCAATTGCAAGAGCGCTCTGTATCAATTTCCACATTCGTCTGCACGGAGGCTGAGCTAATGCGTAGCATTTTGGGTCTATACTTCGTTTCCCTTGTATAGCACAGTCTCATCTCAATTACTCTTTCGACCAGTTAATAAAACCATGCATGTAGATCGCCGTTCTACTTTGTTAAGTACCATATTTTAGTAATTCCGGTGCTTGCTTATACCTGAAAGAAGTATAGGAAGATAAGCCTGGCGGTGGCGCTTTCAGCAGATTGAATACTAGTGTATGCTGTGAAGAGCTGCAGTTTATACATACATACATACATATATATATATATATATATATATATATATATATATATATATATATATTTGAACATCCTTGTGGGTGAAAAATAGAAAAGTTAAACATTTACAGAAATTTTCTCCTGGATAGTCATAAATGTGCTTGTTTTCTTATTGGAATGTGGAATTTGCTTGCTATGTAGAATGTGGAGTGAGGCTTGTTAAGTCCCGATGAACAAGAAAATCTTGTTATGGTTTTGTCCACTCTTTTTTTAAGTGTTTTGCTTTTCTGGTTCTATTTATATCCTAATATTGTTTTACGAATTGTATTTAAAAATTATTCTTTTGTTCTGAGTTTGGAGTTTAAGATCTGTTTCAGTCTCCCATTTAAAATAGTCTATGGTAGATATTTTGTGTGGCCCTTGTCAGTAATTATCTCTTGGTGTATCATACTACCTTTCTTGAGCAAAATGAGGAATTTTAATGGATGCATTATATCTTGTTGCTCTGAGTGTTAGCATTTATTAATTTTTCGTGGACATTTGGTGTAGATGCTTGGAGATGAGATTGGGAAAGGAGCATATGGTCGAGTTTACAAGGGTTTGGACTTGGAGAATGGAGACTTTGTGGCAATTAAGCAAGTTTCATTGGAGAACATTGCTCAAGAGGATCTTAACATTATTATGGTCTGCAACATTGATCTTTGCTATTTTTTAACTCTTGTTATGCTCTCTTTTGATAACTCAATTCGAGTGAAAGCTTACAATAGCTCCATTTCTCCAACATTTTTAAATTTAAGCCTGTAGCCAAGGAACATCTTGTCCATTTTTTCTTTAAGCTATAAAAGTCTAATGGTTTGTAGGGAAAGAAGAGAAAGTTGATGGCTGAATATGTGAAATTGCTTTATGGATGGCTTGAAAATCTTGTGAAGACTAATCTATGGGTGGCCAGATTATTTCTTGCTGCCTGATCTGTGAAATTCAAATGCTGTTCTTTTGTTCATTGAGCTTTCTTGTTAACGTGGAAGGTTGCAGACATGCTGTAGTATTCTAGGAAAAACAACAAAATGAAAAAGATAAAAAGGTACAAATGACTTCTTAGTTCATCGAGTTTTCAATGCATGGGTGATTGTTGCTTGTCCACATTATTTTAAGTAGGTGCTATCGTGGAAAACGACATTATCGACTAAGGGACTGGAAATTGCCATCGAGGAAACACTTGATATTGAATTTTTTTGTTCGAATGTATGTGTTTCGATTTTGATTTTTCCTCATCAAGGACAGTGTAACTGGTATAGTAGAAGTTACTGGTCACTTATGAACAACAACACATGGAATGACTAAATGCTGATCCCTTAGTCGTGTAATCACTGCCACGTTGATCACATATATTTGTTTGCATAGAGCGGCTGTTCTGGGTAAATGAATAGATAGACATGTGCATATGCACATACATCATGTCCTATGGACATGGCAGCGGTGTTGGGTAAAATCATGGTCTCCTCTACCTCCTGAAGAGAGAATAATTACTGCGGGAACACTAGTAGCCTCTCAAGGAGCAAAAACCTCATTCTTATACTAAGGAGTACCGTGATCACGTATTTGCACCCTCATTAGCATTGCACTGGAAGCACTGAACCAATACTTATATTTCCTTTTCCGTCCTGGTATTCAAGTAGTTTTCATATGTTTCATCCTGCATAGGATAATAATGTTAATAAGCACGTGTTTTTTGGGAATGGTAACTGTGGTTGAAGTGATTCCTTACGTTTTGAAGGGACATTTGCCATTATGCACTAGTATAATGCAGAACTAGTCTTTGACTTCAGTAGAAGCTCTATTCTTTCCTCTCTTGACATTCTGACCGGCTTCGGAACCTTGAGGACTAGTTTCTATCGATGCTTCTAGGGGTGCTGATGGAGATAACATAGTATATTATATCTTTTAGGAATCAGAAGTATCTACGTTTTTTTTGACAAATGTAGATTTTATAAGCTGTTATTAACTTATGACTGTATTTCTGCCTTGAGGGCCATTTTTTTTTATGTACTGCTTTCTTTTACTGGCTTCGAGTCTATCTCATTGCTATTTTTCTTTCAATATAATCTCACGTGGGCGACATATTTGACTGGATCAGCAAGAGATTGATTTACTTAAGGTACCTTTTCGCCTTCTCTGCTGTAAATATATGAATTGCACTTCTTTTTCTGCAATCTGCTTTCTCGATAAGGTTATATGTTTGCAATGTGTCTTGTAGTTTAGGACATTGGATTCTCTGCAGGTTCTTCTACTGCTAAAACTAAGCTCTTGTTTGATTTATGATGAGAGTGCATCTTGACGATAGTATTTAACCTATATGCATTGCAACTATGTCCTTGCAGAATCTGAACCACAAAAACATTGTGAAATATCTGGGGTCCTTGAAAACAAAGACGCATCTCCACATTATTCTTGAGTGAGTAGACTCAAATAGTTCTTGTAACGGTCTCAAAAGTTTCAGCAAAAAGGGACTTCATAGTTGCTTTTTACTCAATTTAAACTCTTTTGCATAGATACGTGGAGAATGGATCACTTGCAAACATTATCAAGCCAAACAAGTTTGGACCTTTTCCAGAATCATTGGTTGCTGTCTACATTGCTCAGGTTTGAGTATATCCTTGCTTGTGTTTCTCTATTTGTTGATAGTGTGTTCTAGTGCTGTATCATTCTATGTTACACAGGTTTTGGAAGGGCTGGTTTACCTACATGAACAGGGTGTCATTCATCGGGATATTAAGGGCGCAAATATTTTGACTACCAAAGAGGTAATCCTCCACAGTTATGACAAAGTAAGCTTAAATAATTTCTCAATCTTCCGGGTCTATCAATGGGCCTATTCTTTAGCGGGAACCAGGCCCTCTTCCCTTTATTTGACTTTTCATGCTTCCCAAACCTTCCATCAGTGCCAGCCCTAGCATTCATTCTGCTCCTTCCATGTAATCTATGTTTATGTCTGCTTCGATCTCTTCTTTTCCGGCTAGCTAGTTGCATAAGTAAGGTCTACCCCTTCCGTGAGGCACACGGTTATCAACTGACAAGAAGAATCCATTGCTTACTACTTTCATTAATTTCGTTTTCACTTGGATATGCGTTATATTAAACACGCATCATGATATATCATTTATTTCTTTTGCATCTCTCGTGTTCCTTCTTTTCCTCTGCTTTTGGACATGCAATTATCTCTTGTTACATCTCCCATGGCTTTTGGTTTTCTTCTTCTCTTACCCACTTTCTGAGATTTTCCTGCCTTCATATGTACTCTCAGGGACTTGTCAAACTTGCTGATTTTGGTGTTGCAACAAAGTTAAATGAGGCTGATGTGAACACTCATTCTGTCGTTGGAACACCCTATTGGATGGCACCTGAGGTATATATATGCTTATATATTATGTATAAATTATTCAGATTTATTTCATATATCATGTTCATCTCAGAAAGAAGATAATTGTTTTATAATTCCTGTTGTAGGTTTTGGGAAAAGTGCTGTGTAATCTTGTAAGATACTCGTTGCGTCCACATATGTGTCTGCAGCATCGCAAAGTAATCAAAATTAATAACAAAATTGTTTATCATGTTATTGACAAATTGTACCTGAATTTCTTTATCTGGTAATGACAACCAAAACATCCAGAGCTGAATTGCAGAAATAATATAACCTCAGGTCTTTCAGTTGGTGACTTGATTGATTTGTTTCTATTTTTTCACCAGAAAATTACCCAAAATTCTGCTGGTTGGATAACTGCTGTAATTGTGATGCTCTATCAAGATGGAAGAAATAAATAAATCCATTGTAATGTGATTGATAAGTATATGTTAACTATCATTTGACGTGTAAATAAGTATAAGTGTTTATAGAATATTGGTAATTGGAGTTGATATAGTCTGGACATGCTTAATTTTATGTCAAGATATGTGACTCTCATTATGTTGCTTTTACAATGCCTTTTGGTAATGCTTCAAGTCTTTCGTTATTTGGAACTCCACCTGGCACTGCATGTTGGTCTGTGTTTTTATTAGCAAATTTGGTTAGAATGACTGCAGGTCATGGAATTCACTAATTAGACTAGCTGAATTTTGCCTTTTTTTAAGCTCAGTCTATCCTTGCTAGTGATCGTCTCTCGATTGTGTTATTGTAGATATGCAGTAAAGCTCATTCTTGTGCAACTCGTTAATTTTCCAGGTGATTGAAATGTCAGGGGTTTGCGCTGCATCCGATATTTGGAGTGTTGGCTGTACAGTGATTGAACTTCTCACTTGTGTTCCACCTTACTATGATTTGCAACCTATGCCAGCTCTTTTCCGGATAGTTCAGGTTTTTCAAATAGTTTTTTAAAGTGTCCTTCATCGATGAGTGTGCTTGTGGAGAATCCTTCCTGCTTTTGAAATTATATGAGATCCTTGTCTGGGATAATTGCAAGATACTTCATAACATTTTACTATTTACAGTTTTCCACTAGGACTTTTGGATTTGGCAACCCATCACCCTCAATATTTCAACTCGAGCAAATTATTACATGCAATAATAGTTTATAATTGTTTTCTTCTCACCTTCAACCTTGGCAAACTGTGAAGTTTGCCAACCAACTCTCTATTTTTATAATTCTACCCCCATCAACTTTGATTTTTGACATTCTTCCCATTTGCCCTTTCAATTTGAGCATATTACCTGCATTTCTACTTAATCTAACATAAGTTAGCTTGTCTTGCCCCTTTGCGATCCATGTGATAACTATGTCGGAGTCGTCATGAAAACTGTAGTGGGTATAAAGAGAAAAACAAACTAGAAATTTGACAATAAAAATTTGGCAGGGAAAAAATGAATATGAACTTAAGAATTTGAAATAGCACAGAAGACAAGATTATATGACGTTGGGTAACTGTTACACCTTTTTGCTTAGTCTGGCCATATACGTAATGAAGTTTTTAGTTGGACAGATTTCCCTCCTTGATATCTCCTCTAGCCTAATGGAAATTTCTTGTAGATTTGTACTTTATGGAAAGTGTTTCCTTAAGAAATAATTGGTTTGCCTTTCTGAAAGCATCAAGAAGGATATTTTATGTATGTTTTGTACTGTACATGACTTTTCTATTCGATTAATAGGGTGAAAATAGCAATTTGGAGTTTCTTTTGGCAATCTTAATGATTGAATTGGAAGGATGTGTTGTACTTTTCTGTAACTGCAGAACTTTTGAAAGGGGGAATTTTCAATCAAAGTTTTTGTTTTCCTATGCATAATGATGTAGAGACTTGAGCAATGAAGCATGTGATTGATCCATTGTTTAGATAATGTTTGAATAAGATATTCTGTTTGCCTTTTAATAATCTTTTAATTATTAGAGTTGTGGAGATAGAATCGTTTCACATTGCTTTTTCCTTGTTTTTCCTCCCTTCAGGATGATCATCCTCCAATACCTGATAGTCTATCTCCTGATATTACTGATTTTCTGCGCCAGTGCTTTAAGAAGGTATGTGGATTTCTTCTAGCAAATAAATGCTCGATCTAATCTTTTTGGAGATCTGTTCTCTCTATCTCTCTCTACTCTCTCTAACCCCTTCTCTGGGGCTAAACATGTAATTCAATGGGAGACGGGCATGTATAGTGCGAAGATAGATGCCAGATTCAACTTTTGGGTATCTAGATTCTTGTTTTCCCTGTTCTGAGATATAATGGGAAATTGGAGGGGAAATCTTCTGAGTGATTCTGGAGCAACTTTGTCATAAACACTATCAAGGAGTTCGATTATGTTCCTGTAGTAGACTCATGGTGCCATCTTGTCTAAAACATTTTGCAGAATACACTTCAATGGTTTTTAAAATTTCTTTTACATTCACCTATATCCATATTCCAGGATGCTCGACAGAGGCCTGATGCAAAAACATTGCTTTCTCATCCTTGGATACAAAATTCTAGGCGTGCCTTGCAATCTTCTCTTCGTCATAGTGGAACATTGAGGTATATACAATTATGGCGCTACTCTTTGTACGGGAAATGTTTGTGGGTAAACTCTTGCATGTATTATCCTTTAGTACTAGGAGTTGATATCACTTGATGATATGACTAGGCTTGACTGAACTACATAGCCTTTTTTGAAGTCTACTGGTTGGATTCCTCTTGAACTCACCCTCTTTTCTACGTGGGCATCAGAGTTTCTACATATTTTTTCAATAATGGTAACTTGAGATAGTTTATGTCAACCGGATCTTTTTGTGTAACAATTTTGCATGCTGTATTGTGTATGAAGCTTGGGCTCATGATCAGCTTATGCTCGTTTTTTAAAAATTTTGCTTGAGAATTTAGGCTTCTACTTTTAAGCATTAATTGCAAGGACTAAAAACATAATTACTCCTTGTCTGCTGCACCTATTGTCTTCAAACTGAGACTTCCCTATGTCATTAAACTTCATTTTTACTGGGAATCTTCATTTTCCAATGTCCAAAGAAACTCTAATCTACGACCTTCATTACTGTAATCCTTCTGAAAACAAATTGAATTGTTTCTTGTGGTGGGGTTGCTTGTGCACTAAAGTTGCAGATGAAAAAGAAGCATCATAAACATAAATAGGAATTCATGATAAAAAAAAAACATATAGGAATTTGGCCTCATGCAATATCTTCCTGTTAATGTAATTATTTCTTTCCAGCAACTATGATGCATGTTTCAAATTTCATGTGTGCATTTACTTCACATCGAGTGAAATGTGGTTTTAATTTTTTTTTTTTTTGGTAAGGAAAATGTGGTTTTAATTTTGTACTTTAGCAAAACCAATAAGACAGGGGATTTGATAGCGGAAAACTTATCTTCAAAACATGAACTTCTTTTGAGGCTTATGACATGGATCTAATGGTTCAGTCTTTTGGAGATTTTTATCTTTTTGATACTAGGGCATGGTTTCAGTGGGACAGAATATTTGTGTTGAGGTCACACGTGATTGCACTGACAGAACTGTTGTGCATGAGGCTTTGCCAACAACTATTTTATTTACTATCGTAATCTTTTGGTTTGTAACACCTTTACTGACTCTCTTATAAGATAATTCATGAAAGTTCCGCATTGTTGGTTTGAGCTGCTACTTGGGGACCTCTCAAAAACTATTTTCCTGTTGGGTTAATTATACTTGCAAATTCTTTTGGCTGCTGATCTTGAAATAGTTCTTTGCTCCCAGAAATATACAGGAAGATGATTCAATGGATCCAGAAAGTGCTGATGCAGATAATGAGGGTGTCAGCAGAAGTCCTGCCGCAGAGAAAGTAGAAGTAATTTTCTTGGACCTCTGTAACTCTTCTTTCTTTGTAATGTCTCTTGGGATGATCGTGCCCCTTGAGCCTGCAAATTACACTAATCTATTGCTATGTGTGCCTGCTCGGAGAATCCATTTCTTCATGGTTATCTCTATTTTTGTGTCAATAGTTTGTTTCCTGAATTTCAGGATCTGGTGAAAGAAGAATATGTAAAGGTGGAGGTGGATATAGGTGGATCTGATAAAGATAATTCTCCAGATCATACCGTCAAACCAGATGATACAGAAGATGATCTCTTGTCATATCAAGTTCCCACTTTAGCCATACTAGAAAAGTCATCTCTACAACTTGGTTCCACAATGGAGAATGCTGAAAAGGAGACAGACACCTCATGCGAACATCTGGCTCTTGAGCACCCAGAGAAGAGTGATCATGATGAAGCACTCATTAATGGTGAGATTGGATCTCCTGAATTGAGTCGGAGAAAGATAACAAAAGGTGGAGGAACAGGAAATTTGAAGCATGCCGAGAATAGTTCATTTGGTTTTGGTTCAAAATCTCAAGATAGTTTCAAAAAGGTAAAGTTGCATAAATTACTGGATCTGGATTTGTTATACTTTGGTTGCTGGCATGTTGTCATAATGTTGGTTGTCATGTACATCTGCTATATATGTTCACCTTACTATTCAGTTGCATCTCCTTTCCAAAATAGATAGATGCTGTCTGAAAACCCCATAAGTTTTGCAATCAACTTCGTAAACGAGGAGTTATAACCACGAGGTTTCTACATGTTATCGGTAGATTAAGTAGAGAAGGAGCTCCTTTCAACTTGGATTTGTTACTGTTAGAGCATTTAAAATAACAAAAAGTTTGAATAAGGGGGCAGTTATGTCACAATGTCTACATGGTATCAAAGCAAAAGTTTCTATATTTGAATCTCTTTGGTCCCCTAGTTTACTCTATGATGAAATTAATATTTATGCTTCAATCTTAGGTGAAATGTCAGCCTACATTTGAGGAATACCTGTGGATAACATTATTGTCATCTGACCTTTTGTTTATTTTTATTTCCCACTTCCTTAAATTTGATAGAAAAAATCAATGGAGGGATATAATGTTCTTGATCTAAGTCTTCTTCTCTTCTGACAATGAAGTGCTATTGTTTATCCATAAAAGGCTGTTAGGAAACACTTTTGAAGTGGGTATGTTTCTCACCCTTTCCAGTTCTTTGATATTGTAATCCTCTGATTGAACATAAAAACACATTTGCATCTCGAGAGTCTCAATCTTTGAGTTTTCATATTTAATATTTTGATCTAATCAGTTTTCTCGATCTTTTTGAAGGCTGCAAAGATGCCGGTTACAAATGAATTGAGTAGATTCAGTGATACTCCGGGAGATGCTTCCTTGGATGATTTATTCCATCCTATTGACAAAACCATAAATGGTCGAGCAACTGAAGCCTCATCTTCGTCAGCATCCACATCACATGCAACTCAAGGCAATGTGCATTCGACTGAAGCTGGGAAATATGACCTCGCTACGAAATTGAGGGCTACAATTGTTCAAAAACAAATGGAAAGTGAAACTGAGCAGCAAAACGGTGGCGGTAATTTGTTACGCCTAATGATAGATGCTTTGAAGGACGATGTGATTGATATTGATGGTTTGGTATGAGCAAGGATCTCGAGCAAATCTTATTGGTCTCTTCGTATTTCTTCTTCTCACTATTGTGCTTGTGTTGTTTTTGTTCAGGTTTTTGATGAAAAGTTGCCAGGAGAACATCTATTTCCTTTGCAGGTTTAATTTGATTCCCTTTAACCACTTTGGCTATTTAGTTCCTTTTCTGAAATCTAATGTGTCCCTGTTGTCTTCCTTTGCATAGTACGATGCATTTGGAAATGAATATGATATTTGATGATGGTCTTACACGACAAAAAGAGCAAGATCATAAGCACATCAGTCTATATCTGCTTGCTATTAACATTGGTAGAAGCTGAAGAGAACTGACACTGGTTGCGTGTTTATTGCTCTTCTTTGGTTCTGCTTTAATTCTATCGCTTAGATGATGTACTTTCGAAGTCTTTGATGGCTCGAGCTGTAGAAAAACCTAGTCCCCCACCAATGCATCGATTTGACGTGTAGATGTAATTTGTTAATTGCATCTTTTGCTTAGATGCATCGCTTTTTGCCAATACTATTGGATTGTCCCTTTTGTTTGGCGGTTATAAATGAGCAAGAGTCAAAGCTGTACAACTGATTGGTGGTGGTTATTTGAGGAGGACAACTAATGTGAAAACAATTTGGATCAAATGTTGCATTTCTATTTACCAGCCGTGAATAGGCAGTCTCTATCTGGCTATTGTGCTAGTTAAATAGGATTGAATTAGCAATTAAAGATGCTAACACTTCTACTCAGCTCAACTGCAGTCTCTGTTCTTGATAAAAACGTGCTGTATGGATGTGACGTACATATGCACTTTTGAGAATTCTATCATGCGTAGAGGTGATTTATAGCATCTGATGGAAATAGATAGTTGGTGGTACTTTGCTCCCAGTCGGATCCATACTTGTCTGCTGGGAAACAACTGAAGTTCCTGTTTAATTAATTCATCTAAGAATATTTGTGATGTCTTATTCCAAACTTGCGGTGAGTATTTGCACTTGGTCTGCAAGTCATGCTGTAAATAGTGGTATATGCATGTGCAGTAGAATCTGTCAGTGGTCCACTTTTTGTTGACATGAATTAACTCTGTCTTTGCTCTGCTTTTGCATTTCAGGCTGTTGAGTTTGGGAGATTAGTTGGATCTTTGAGACCACATGAATCAGAAGATGTGATTGTTTCTGCCTGCCAAAAGCTTATTGCCATATTTCACCAGCGTCCAGATCAGAAACTTATTTTTGTCAGCCAACATGGCTTGCTTCCCTTAATAGAATTGCTAGAAGTTCCTAAAAATCGTGTATGCCATTTGAATTTCTTGCCTAATCTTTGGTTATCCAACAGTTCATAAATAATGGCAAGCAGTGCACTATTAAACAACTTTTCCTACCATTGCAGGCAATATGTTCGGTGCTTCAACTTATAAATAAGATAATTAGGGATAACACTGACTTTCAGGAGAATGCTTGTCTTGTTGGTTTGGTAAGTGCTCTAAACGTTCAGGTTGACCTTTATCTAAATGCAATATTTAGAAACCTGTTCTATATGCAGTTTCCTTGATAGATATTTATCAAGACGAGTATATTCAAAGCCTTTTGCTTTGGATCTCGTGTCTTTTTGACAAACTTCTTGTGATTTATTTTCACATCGCAATGATATGCGAGGCACATAATTTCAATATTCTTTTGTGTATGTATTTTACTTTTTCAGTTTAAATTACCATGATATTTTGCTGTTGAAATTGGATACCTTACTGGTGAGTCTGTCCAATTACAGATCCCTGTGGTAATGAACTTCGCCATCCCCGTCCCTGATCGTCCCCGGGAAATTCGCATGGAGGCAGCTTATTTTTTCCAACAGCTTTGTCAGTCCAGGTAATTTTATGTTTTTTATTAGTATTGGCTTGTCGTGTTGTGATGGGAGGAGTTAAGGATGGTGATTGATTGTTGGTTGATGCTTGGTACAGCTCCTTAACACTGCAAATGTTCCTAGCTTGCCAGGGAATACCTGTCCTTGTGGGCTTTCTGGAGGCCGACTATGCTAAACACAGGTTCGCAGTCTTCTACTCTAATTACAGACTTTATATCGAGGCTATATTCAAGGAGGCTAAGAATTAGGTTATGAAGGGGAAAAACAATAGGAAGTTTGATATGTGCGATGCAAATTAAGATCTATCATATTGCACATATCTTTGATACCAAATTACTAATTGTTAGAGTTTTGACAGTGATTTCTTAATTTGACAAGATGACCAATCACAGAATTGCACCCTTGGATTATCGCCTATGAATTTGGTTAGAGGACTTAAGGTTATACAACTAGGGGAACAAAAGTCGAAGATTTTTCAAGCCGGACAATGTGACGTGGTAAAGCATGTATCAATGGTTCTACAGGATCAGTCATATATCAATATGTAATTACTCAATCTAAATTATGAAGAATGTGTCTATGATGCAGTGAACCGGTGCCTCACTTTGTTAATGTGAAATGCATAACAATAATTTTTGCATGACTTTCAACTTAATTTTGTAAAAAATTCAGCTGCACTAGATTATTTTCAAGTAATTTTTTGTGTACTTGCTTAATATTCTGTAATTTGGAAATCCAATAAGTGGTGATTGGTAAGTTCTTCATATAGATAGTCGGACTAGGACCTTACCATACTCAATCCCATAATGATACGCCGTAATGGTGACAACACTAAATAAATCAAACCATTTGACCTTTTGGAATGAAGGTAAAGCCAAGTTTCATTGATCGATTTGGATCCTAGCATCTCTATTTTATGATAGTTCGATCCTTTTTTTTTATTTGTTCATTTCTACTTTGATGCTTAGTTTGATATTTTGGAGTCCGTTAAGTAATTTATGTGTAGAGCCTGTCTGGTGGCTCATGGCTTCAAAGCAAGGAAGAGTGATTATCCATAGTGGTGCATTTAGGTTGCTGATAATGTTCTCCTGCATGCCTTGTGCTCGTTGAATTATGTTTTTAACAACTTGAGCCTTTTGGTGAACACTTATGATCTATACGTGCTTCTCCTGAGATTTTGACTTTAATTTGGGCTGTTGTCACCATCTTTCGACCTTATTGATTGAAATTTGGAACTGTATTAAGGCAAAATGTTCTGTAATACAGGGAAATGGTTCATCTGGCTATTGACGGCATGTGGCAGGTATTTAAGCTTCAGCGCTCAACGCCACGGAATGAATTTTGCCGCATCGCTGCTAAGAATGGAATCCTTCTGAGGCTAATCAATACACTATATAGCTTAAATGAGGCTGCTCGCTTGGCTTCTATATCTGGAGGGACTGGCATTCCAGGGGATGGTTTAGCTAGATGGCCACGGTCTGGTCAATTAGATCCTAGTCATCCTGCTTTTCTGCAGAGCGAGGCACTGGTTTTTGCATCCGACCAACCAGATAATTTTAAGGTTAGGCACGGAATCGCTGATCATTCTCTGCCAGCTGGAGTGCAGGAACCTTCACGTGTTTCAATTTCGAATTCCCAGACCTTGGATGCGAGTCAATCAGATTCCCGCCATCTTCCCGTAGACCTAGATAGGCTTCAATCTAGCAGTGTAGCAATTGACTCTTCACGAGGAGACCTCGAACTTAGACAACAGCGCATTCCCAATTCTGCTAATAGGACCTCCACAGATAAGCCTTTGAAATTGACAGATGGTGCATCAAATGGACATTCCAGTTCGGTAACCTCTCAGCAAGAGCAAGTGCGACCTCTACTTAGCTTGTTGGAGAAGGAGCCGCCTTCCCGACGTTTTTCTGGCCAACTCGAGTATGTTCGGCACCTATCTGGGTTAGAGAGACACGAAAGCATATTGCCTTTACTCCATGCTGCTAATGACAAGAAGACAAATGGAGAACTAGATTTTGTGATGGCTGAATTTGCAGGTCTTGTAATTAGTTTGAATAAACTTTCATTAATACTCTAGTACTGATTCAAATTTCTTCTCATAAATCTAGCCTTGATCTCCTATTTAATTGTAAGCCTTGAATCTATATTTTATGTCCTTTATGTAGCAGAAGTCACTGGGCACAGAAGGGAGAATGTGAATGTTGACTCTACTCCTAAAGCTTCGTACAAGACAGTAAATAAGAAGACAGGACTGCCTGGATCTGAGGGAGCTACTTCCACATCTGGAATTGCATCTCAGACTACTTCAGGTGTGCTATCTGGTTCTGGCGTTTTGAATGCTAGACCAGGAAGTGCAGCTTCATCAGGGTTGCTTTCGCACGTGGTCTCAACTCTGAATGCAGATGTAGCCCGAGACTACCTAGAAAAGGTTGCTGACCTTCTACTTGAGTTTGCGCAAGCGGATACAACTGTTAAATCACACATGTGTAGCCAGGGTTTGCTCCTCCGTCTTTTCCAGATGTTTAACCGGATAGAGCGCCCCATTCTTTTGAAGGTACACTTATCGCGCACATACTTGTCCACTTTTTAAATTATTATGCTCCTTAGGTGTCATGAACATGCTAATAATTGTCCGTCTTCATTTGATCTCAAAGATACTGAAGTGCATAAATCATCTGTCAATGGATCCAAATTGCTTAGAAAGTCTCCAGCGTGCAGAGGCAATTAAATATCTGATTCCAAACCTTGAACTTAAAGACGGGCCACTTATATCGCAGATACATCACGAGGTATGGACTCATTTTATTCTATCAATTATACCCTTTTTAAGGCGAACTCTAGTGGTCTTGCTCCTTTCAGTTTAACTGAATTGGTCAGGGTTCGTTTGATTTCTGAAAGATAATTGGCGGAGGATGCCACAATTTCGATTATATATATCATGTGCTGATTCACTCCGAAAATACTCATTGTATAAGTGTGCTTTAGAGTGCAGGAAACTCCAAAAGTTATGTCCTAAAAAGAAGAATCATACGTATTTGATATTTAAGGAGTCAGAACTTGTGTATTTACTGTAATGAACTCTTGATTAAACTAATCTTTTCAACTGGTCCGCTTATATTTTATAGTAACCGAAAAGTATTAATATCAGGCTGTGGCACGCTAACTCTAACCAGAGTGGTTCTGAGCAGGTCTAAAGCGGACAGACTGATGCTTAGGGTTTTAAGGTCTAGCAATTGGCTGAGGTTAAAAAACAATGGCGTATTGACTGCTCTAACCAACTTGGGAGTGTCATTTTCTTGTTGAATGCTTGTTCGGATGGTATTTGTTAGTTAACCATTTTACATGGGACAAAAGATTTAAACAAATGATGTTTCTCCCTGCAAGCACGTTTCTTTATTCTCATTGTGTTCTGCCAGATTCATTCAGTTTCAATATCCAAGAGCAAATCTAGTTCTACTGTTCAGTTCCTTCGCCTTTCCATGCCTTTGTTCTATGGATTCTGATTAGTTGCTGTTTACAGTTTTACACCTTGTAATGTGCTTATGAACTTTATTCTTTATTTTGCAAGGTTCTGCATGCACTCTTCAATTTGTGCAAGATAAATAAGAGGAGACAAGAGCAAGCCGCGGAAAATGGAATCATTCCACACTTGATGCATTTTATCGTGACAGATTCTCCATTGAAGCCCCATGCGTTGCCTTTATTGTGTGATATGGCTCATGCGTCACGTAATTCAAGGGAGCAACTAAGGGCCCATGGGGGACTGGATGTGTATCTAAGCCTGCTAGATGACGAGGTCTGGTCTGTAACAGCATTGGATTCCATTGCTGTATGCTTGGCTCATGACAATGACAGTCGGAGGGTGGAGCAGGCATTGTTGAAAAAGGAAGCGGTTCAGAAATTGGTGAAGTTTTTCCAGAGTTGTCCAGAGCAACATTTTGTCCACATTTTGGAGCCTTTCTTAAAAATAATTACGTAAGTTTTCTTTGTCTGTGACTTTTGTTCCTTTCACTTGCCTCTCCTATTCTGCAACTTGTCCAAAGAGAGGAAAAGCAAGCAGGTATTTCCTCTATTTCAAAGTTTTTTTGCTGTAGGATTTTTAAGATAGTAATTCTATATTTGGAGAGGCGGCTTCTTCTTAAGATCCATGATTTTACTGATCATGAGTCTGGTTGCTGAAGACGGCCATGTGGACTTTATAGAAAGTAAGAGGTATCCAGTGATTGTATCCCTGGCTCTCATATGAAGTAGATTGGAGCAGGAGAAGCTAGTTTAAAGCTGATTTGGGTCAATATCCTCTTTATTTCTATTTACCTCTTAGTAGTGTGCAATCTGCTATATCCTGTGGGAGGTCATTGATTTGCTGGCAAGAAATCTGCCTATGCATCCTTTTAACTTTTATTGTTTATTAAATGACTGGTATACTTCTTCATGCAGCAAATCATCTCGGATCAATACAACGTTAGCTGTTAATGGTCTGACACCTTTGCTCATTGCAAGGCTAGACCATCAGGATGCTATTGCCCGTCTAAATCTGCTCAAGCTAATTAAGGTGCGTATCTCTTGACTCCTCTCTTGCTTATGAGCAATGATTTATTTGCATGTTTCTATTGGCATATTTTGCTTAGTGCTTTTCTCCATGCCTCTTATGTGTGCTCAGAAAATGGGGCGGCAGCTTAGCGAGTTGAAACGATTTACATTTTTTAAGCTTTAAACTCTCGGGCTTGGTTAAAAGAAAATTGAGTTGTCAACTTTCCCCCCATGACGATGTGTGTCTATTTTGTTTACTATCTAATTTCTGTACCTGAAATTGGTTTCATTTACCATTACGTGAACAAAATACGGACCACTTTGTTGATTGTCAAGCTGACGACTTTCTTGTTGACAATAGTGCTTGTTGTGTCCTAAAATCTAGTTTGGAAGAGCGTCTCGAGGTCCTGCTTATGCCATCATTACTGACTCTGTACTTTTTACTGCCGCAGGCTGTTTACGAGCACCACCCTCGGCCCAAGCAGTTGATTGTGGAAAACAATTTGCCCCAGAAACTTCAAAACCTGATCGAGGAACGCAGAGACGGGCAGAGCTCCGGAGGTCAAGTCTTAGTTAAACAGATGGCGACGTCCCTTCTCAAGGCGCTCCACATCAATACCGTCTTGTGATCTCTTTGTTTTTTTTGGTTACTTTTTGGCTAGTTGTATCTCTTCCTTTTGTACATTGCCTTGCCTTAGGAGGGATTGTATGTATATGCATGTGCTTTTTCCTTTTGCGTTTCTTTTCTTTTGGGTTGTTTTTTTCGAGTGATTACCGGTTGCAAAGAAGACACTGCATACCCTCATTGATGTTGGACGCGAAGTCCCTGATGATGGTGGCTATATTTTTGTTTGCTGGCCACCTTTTTTTTGCTCCTTTTTCTTTGCTTCTCTTTGGTTCACCAATTTGTCATATAGTGTTTTCCTTTTTCTGTTAATGCCTTGACTGAGTTCGGTAATATCTGTTTTGGCGAGCGTCATCCTAGACATAATTTGAGACCTAACACTGACAATTTATTTTGATTGCAAAGATCCTTCTGACCCTAAAACCGATAACATTTCTGTGGATGTTCTTTTTGCTTTGCTCGTGGAAAGAGGTCGGGGTAGAAATCTTGTCCCAGATAATCTTCAACTCCGTGAGTTCATGCCGGATGTTCAGAATAATCTGGTTTAGGAAAAGAAAAGGAATTGTGCAATCTGTTTGCCGCGCTATCATTTCTGCAACAACAATACCCATGGTTGTGAACTTGATGAGAGAGAGAGCCTGCTTTTCCAGCAATGATCCTTGAATGATCGATCTCTTATCTCTATCGGAAGGTGTGAAAGAGACAATGTGAAGCTTTCATCTTAGAGGCTACCATTGAATTTGACTTTCCCGAAATGTTGAAATAAGTAAATCCGCGACTCCTAGGACTTTTATGATACCGTTTGTTTCATAAAAATGAATAATTAAATAATTATTTATATCGCTTAAAAAATTTGATCAATGAACTTTTTTGGATTATTGAATGATAATTTTTATCTAAAATTTTCATAGACAAAAAACATTTTTTTTATAAATTCATTTTTATAAACAATATAAGCGATCTTTTGAGGAATTTTTTATTTTAAATCATCTATTTTCCGCGAAATAAACGAACTCTAGAAGTCTTCTATTGAATTTCATAATCTATTGTTCTGTATGAAACTTCGGAATATTGTGCTGCGTTGTTTTCAACGAATTGCAAACCAGACAATCACAAACAAATTACAATTCAAGCTCGTAACAAACAACATTTCAGCATTCCTGTTCAATCCGTTTATAGTCGGCCAATGAGTCACAGATCCGCAGGTCAACCAACAATGTCAAGATATTTACTACTAAACAAGTCACCCTCCCAAAACAAAAAGATTGGCGCACTCTGCTATCGTACAAACCATGGAGAGAAAGGGAAAAAAGAAATCAATGTTGCATCCATGGAAACCACATAGAGCAGCACACTTCATCGACATCCAGACCAGTGAGCAGAACCAAGGACTTCCCAATTAGATAAGATCAGCAACATTCATGGGCATTTCATCAATCTGGGTACTGTAGTATTGCTCTATATCTCTCAAGATCTTGATATCATCACTCTTTACAAAGTTTATAGCAACACCCTGCCAAACAACAAAGGATAAATGTCGTTTCAATCATTTACCATGCAAAAGTGTCTAAATATAATTCTTTCGGGGCCATAATCAGGGCATAATGTCCATGACACCGACTGAAGTGGACAAACATTATAAACCAACGCAGCACCCAATCATTGGGGAAAAGGATGGTATTAGCATCAACTTAATAGAGTTCTTACAATCTTACGCAAAGAAATATCCCTTTCAATATAAAATAACAAAGACAGAAGAAGAATATTAAACACTGCGGGACAACCAAGTGCGTCAAGCATCACAAACACAAAAGCCTCATTGAAAGATGGTCCCTTGTCTTTCATTAGAGATGGAAAAACAAATACAAAAATTTCTAGGTACACAAGAAATGACCTTGCTAAAAAATGGAAGAAAAATTAGGCAGCTTTTCTCTGCCAAATAATTTGGGGGAACAAAGCTGGGGAATAAAGTTGACCCTACACAAATCATCATGATTTTGGGGGCTAGGAGAAGGTACAGATCAAACCCAAGACTGGCAACTTTACTAAAGGAGAGAAAAGGGAAGGAAAAAAGCTGGGGTATGGAGTTAGTGAACATAACTAAACTTATATTTCCCGAGCAGCTCCAAAATGGAACTACGTGGGTGTCATCAAAGTGCCATATTCTAAAACCAAAAGCAGCACAGCCATATTATCAGTATGCTTTTAGGGGAGGTCATTGGAGTGCCATATTCTAAAACCACTCTGAAGAGCAGCACAGCCATACTTCAGTTCTTTTTTTTCAAGAAAGACATCGCACCACTTGGTTTCTAATCTGCCAATAATGCCTGCATTACAGGATAAGGATAATCTTTCCACCAAGGTCAGAACTCACGGAAGTAGACTGCTATTGCTTTTAAGAACCAAACGCCCTACCATAAAAGTAACTCACGAACTTCAGCATTTTGTTGGCAGCACTCCCATATCAATTCTCATTAACAAAAAAAGAGGCTTATACATGTATTGGTTTCACAGAGGCAAGGCATGCCTTGACTTGTAAGGGCAGTCAGAACAAGAATATATCATCCCAGACCACTAAAGGCTCTTCTTTTTCTGTTTCTTTACAAATATAGGCTTAATTAATGCAACACGAGGAAAAGAGACAACTGCTGACCATAATAGACCCCAGAAAATCGAATTGTGAGAAATGTTACCTTGCGTCCGAATCGTCCAGATCGACCAATGCGGTGAATGTAAAGCTCTCTGTTGTTTGGGAGATCATAATTTATCACCAGTGAAACCTGAATAGAGAGGATTATTAGGACAGGCAATTTCAATTCATAGCTCACAATACTGCCAAGATGATTTACAAGCACAAGTTTCACTAGAAGCTACATTATCCAGCCATATTATGTCCATCACCCAAAACTACAAGCCAATTAGCAATGAATCATGATGTACCAGTGAACCTAAATACCAGTATTTATGGAGGCAGAAGCAACTTGACTAATAGCCATACACATTCATAACAGCAATCGTTCAGATATATACGTGCTATGCATCACTATACTTGCTAAAAGACAAACCTGCTGAACATCAAGTCCACGGGCCCAAACATCAGTGGTGATCAGCACTCGTGTTGCGCCCGACCGGAATTCTCCCATAATTGCATCTCTTTCCTTCTGAGGCATGTCTCCATGCATAGATGAGACAGTGAAATTATTGCTTCGCATCTTTTCTGTTAGCCAATCCACCTATCCAAGTGCGTGACACAGAGGGAGTTATAGGTGACTGTTAACCAAAAAAACAAACAAAAGCCATGGCTCTGACAGATGTATTTCCTATGCTTCGGAGCTGTAGATTATTCATGTGAAAGGATGATATAAAGTAAAGCATTGGAGTGGGGTTGGGGGAAGCAGAAGGTTCAAATACTTTACATCAAGTGCATATTTCAGTGTATGCCAAAACTTATTGAAACCAGAGCTAACCATAATTTATCCTTCAAGGATTACACTTATGCAAAAAAAAAAAAAAAAATCAGTTAAGTACTATTATTCGCCATTTGAGAATGCAATACACATATAGCATCACTAGGTTTAATGATTCTAATGGAAACATTATGTAACTGTAAACTGTATGTTCAGGCTACTTTCCCAGAGATATACTTCTCACCACCATAGATTTGTAAATAAAGGGAAATAAATCATTCTAACAACCATAATTCAACAGTCATCCAAACATAGCCTCATGCCAAAGGCCTATACTCAACCAACCATATTACACATAAACTGCCCATATGGACAAATCAAAGGCAATGAATGAGGCTCCGATAAGACTGCACAAAAGATCTGTTCATTACCAAGAAAAATAGCTATACTTAGACATAAAAGTGATGGAACCCTTACCTTCCGTTTTGTGTTGCAGAATATAACGGCTTGGGTTATGGTGAGGGTATCATAAAGATCACACAGTGTGTCAAATTTCCACTCCTCTCTTTCCACAGCAACGAAAAATTGCTTTATCCCCTGTCATCATTTCCAAAAACAAAAGATCCTCAGTCTTCTGCTTCAAGGCCACAAATGTCACACACTCCTGTGCACACACTAATAATAAGCACACGTAGTGATTACCTCCAGAGTCAGCTCATCACGTTTCACAAGGATCCTCACTGGATCCGTCATGAACTTGCCAGTTATCTCCAAGATCTCATTTGGAAGTGTAGCTGAAATCAAGACAACCTACACATAGATTCCACAAGTTTAGATTTCAACCAAGTTATTGCTCCCTACACTGCAATGCCAACAACAGGCATAAAAAGCCCTCCCCCCTTTTTTGGGAATGTGGATGCTGTATGTGTACAAGTGAAATATAAGCAGGACAGATGTTTTTGGAGTACTGTGACAGTGACAATCATAACTGCACATGAACCAGAGATATGTGGACTACCAAAGTTGATAATTAACACAGAAAGAAAATGAAGGAATCCAATATATGGATATCTTCCAAGAAAGCTGATGTGACGCATTAAATCATATAAATAAATATTAATGGAATTACAACATCTGTACTACATGCCATGCATATCCAAGAAAGACAACACATTCGATTCAAAGAATGAACGTGATATCTAACTGCTAAGAAACATTACCTGAAGCTCAGGTGGAAGATATCTATAGACATCATAAATTTGATCCTTGAATCCTCTGCTCAACATCTCATCAGATTCATCCTGGCAAACCACAAATCAAATTTAAAACTAATGGAAAAGAGAAGAAAAATTATTGATGCAGCCAAAGAAGGTCAATCACTTACAAGAACCAGCAGTTTAATAGCTCTAGTGCGCAGAGTTCTCCTCTTGATCATGTCGCAGACTCTGCCTGGTGTGCCAGACACCACGTGAACTCCATGCTCTAGTTTCCTGATATCTTCACCCAAACTCTTGCCTCCTATGCAAGAATGTGCCTGAATATTCATATAATCACCAATAGCAAGAATCACCTTCTCTGTCTGGGAAGCCAATTCCCTAGTAGGTGACAAGATCAATGCCTGGACCCTGTAATAACCACATGAACCAACATAAGTATCACACTTAATGAAGAGATGACATTCAGCTCGGATAGGAATAAACCACTGTTCATAGATCTATCCAAGTGCATCGCACTGAGCAAAAAATAACAAATAAACCACTCTTTTTAGATCTATCTAAGTGCATGAGAGAGCAAAGAATATTATATGATCAAGAAAAGAAACTAGTCCTTTCTGCCCACCAAAGTCGTCCATAACACCAAAATGTCACTTGATATACAGTAAAAAAAAATAACGACGTATGTTGCAGTTAAATTCCACATTGCTATTACAACATTATAAACCCTGCAAACCTGAATATTACCTCTGTTCTAACAATGCCTTTTTACACTTCAAAGGAAAGTTAAATGTTGAACAAATCAAATTCACGAAGTCCAATCACAAAAATGTGTAGTACGAGTAATCGCTAAATGTTACATTGCAGCGCAGACTAGCCAGACATTTGCGGAGTACCTAAAGGCTAAAAAGTGAAGCACCATCAGGCAAAAGGTTTTCCTCAATGCAATTTCCACGCACAGAAAAAGTTTGGGCAACTTCATTTAGTTTCTCTAGCCATCATAATCCTGGCTCCTGATAGAGTGTTGTAATATAGGCCTTTCTATAGTTCAGTGAGCATCACCAGAAAAATAGAATTACCAATTCACAAGGGGAATTAACGCGAAACCAAAGGAACAGTCTCTGAAAATTTGTTAATCAAGTCGACTACCCTTCCGAGAGCACGAACTAAGCTATAACGAACAACCAACCTAAACTATTCACGTCTCACAGGCGAGCCAAAAAAGACAGCAGAATCGGCAGAACAGAGGATAATAACAAGAAACATGAACTAGGGTTTATGGAAAGCGAAGGACGTACTCTCGGCTGGAGGTATCGACAATCTGGCAGACGGTGAGGGCAATCATGGAGGTCTTGCCCGTGCCGGACTGGGCCTGGGCGATGACGTCCCGACCCTGGATGATGGGCATGACCGCGCGCTGCTGAATCGCGGAGGGCTTCTCGAAGCCGTAGTGGTAGATCCCGCGGAGCAGGTCCTCCTTCAGGTCCATCTCGTCGAAGCTCGCGACGGGCTCGACGCCCGGCGTCGTCTCGAAGACGAGCTTCTCGTCGTCCGCCGTCGTCGTCCGCCTCGACCGGTTCGCCGGAACCACGCTCGCAGTGGCCGCCGCTGCCATACTCGCAACCCTGCCTCCGCCTCTCTCTCTCTCTCTCTAGAAATCTCTCTCGATCTCTCTATCTCTCTTGTCTGATGGAGCCCTGGAAGGGAGAGATGAACGCCCCCATTATTATATACGTTAGGTTTTCACGCGACGATTGTTATCAAGATTTAACGGGTTTCAGCTTAGGCTAAGAATTGGTTAATTTTGAAATTAAAATGCGTAATTGATTGATTAAGGAGTCCTAATCATAATCCTAATCAAATTGACAAAAAAAAAGAGATAAATAATTTAATTCCATCGATTAATTTTTCAAAGATAACAAGAGACTCGGTCCATCTTTATCTTACTAACAAATTTTAAAATATCAATATACGTTATCTCGAAATTGAGAAACTCTGTGTATATGAATAAGAATTTGTAGTTGCAACTCCAAATATGGAAAAATCGATGTAGTTCTTGGGTTAGGAATATTTAAGCTATATAATTGCAACAAAAGTGTAAATTAGGAGAAATATATATATATTCATGTATTGTATTTGTATTTATAAATATCTTTCTGTTAGCATAAAGCAAAAACTTTATTTCGAGTTTTGCCTCCAAAGTTAAGCATGAATTTCATTAAGATCGTTTCAGTTTTCAAATTCCGAAACTTCAACGATCCTTGCCATTTTGACTTTTAAAAATTGTGCATCGATGTCTTGATTATTAAATTTAAATTTTGTTGAGTGCATTTACACAACCTCCTAATCTAAAATTAACTTTGAGTGCATTTGATGTGGACGTTCATTAATAAAAGTCTTTTCTTCCTTGAAAAATTTAATAAAAATAATATTCGAAAACTTAATTTAAACTAAATATTTAACTCTACTACATAGCATATTCCCTTATATATTAAGATGAATGGGGTGGGAATAATGAAGAGTTGACATGGCCTATTTGGATGACTTTCCCATGATCTTTTATTTTCGACAAAAGGACATTACAAGTGCCATAAGTTATGTACGGAAGAAACTTTAGTGTCATAATTTTTTTTCGGATCACTTTGGTGACAAGTCGGAGGAAAAGAGATCACTTAAGTGCTAACTCTGGTAAGTTTGGCCGGAAATCCGGCGTGACATTTTTTATTAATTTCTGACGCCGACGTAGCTCGCCGGAAGATGAGTCAGCGTGTACAGTCAGCATTTTTTATTTTAAATAATTTTTTTCCTCTTCTTTCCTTTTTCCTTTCTTTTCTTTTTTTTCTTTTCTCCCCTCATCGGCCAGTTGCCGGTGGCCGACCCGGCCACCGGCGAAGTCCGGGAAGGGGTGGGCGAGGCCGCCCCTCGCCAGATCTGGGCGAGGCGACCCTTGCCGGCGACAGGCGAGGCCGCCTCTTGCCAGCCATGGGCAAGGCCGCCCTTGCCCAGCCCTTCCCGAGCTTTGCAACCGGCCGGCGAGGGGAGAAAAGAAAAAAAAGAAAAGAAAGGAAAAAGGAAATAAGAGGAAAAAAAAGGAAAAAAATTATTTAAAATAAAAAATGCTGACTGTACACGCTGACTCATCCTCCGGCGAGTCACGTCGGATTTCCAGCCAAACTTACCGGAGTTGGTACTTAAGTGATCTCTTTTCCTTCGACTTGGCACCAAAGTGATCCGAAAAAAAGTTATGGTACCAAAATGTCCTCCGTACACAATTTATGGCACTTGTAATGTCCTTTTACCTTTTATTTTCTTTTTACTATTCTCATCTACACTTCGCTCTAATGCTATTCCTGCTATGTACCTAACCAAAAACCACTATTTGAAAACATATCAAAACAAAATGTATATATTGCACAAAATGAATTCTAGTAACGAAGAGGTTATATGCCTTATTGGATATTTTCTGATGTTTATGTTGTAAATTTGTCACAGAGGACACTGGTGACAGGTGAGGGCCGGATTTGTGTTTTCGTCTTTTCTTTCTTTTTCTTCTTCTTTCGTTGGTCGTCGGGTCTCAACGACAACCGGTGACAAGCCATAGGTGACGGCCGACCTCGCTGGTCTTGGGTGAAGTTGAGTTATATTTTTTATTTTATTTTTTATTTTTTTCTTATTTTTGTTTCTTTTCTCTTTCCTTCTTCCTCTGTTGATCGTCAGGCCTCAACGACGGCCGACAATAGGCCACAGGCGAGGGCTAGCGATCGGCAGAGGAAGAAGGAAAAAGAAAAGAAAAGAAAATATTAAATAAAAATATTAAAAATTTCGGTTTTAAAAAAATTATAAAAATTTACTATGTCAGCGTGGCTGTGCCACGTAGAGCGATCAACGTCCGTGTCAGCAATTTGTGATCAAATGAGATTTTCCTTAACAAATGACGAAAAATATTTTTCAATTCATTTTCAGGTATCAGCCAAATACTGAAAAATATTATTATTTTCTTTAAAAAATGACTACTTAGGAAATATTTTCTAGAAATGTCACTTTTTCCCGAAATAAGCGGAGCCTTACTGTGATCATATTGAGTGAGGGAGAAAGTAGCTATGATAGGAAAAGAAATATTTCAGTTAGTGGGATATGTTATGCAAGTGTGATACCTCCATAAAGAAAATCATAAAGAGAGAGTCCAATCCTAAGTCCATCTAGTTATCCAATTGGACTCACCTCCATTAAAGTGCTTTAGTCGATAAGTTATGGACCAACTAAAATATGTTAATTGCTCCATTTTATCCTCAATGTGAGGCTTCTTTTGCCAGCCACCCTCACAAGCGCACCTTAACGACGATAAAGCTTTAATAAATAGTGAAAGTCACAATAGATTTGTCATCTTTCTTTTTAACTTTTGAGAGAAATTGTATGATTTGTTTTGTGTATTTTGTGATGGCACTAAGATCATCACACTATTTCCATGCACAAATGTTTTGTGTATCGCACATGTATTATACAAATTAAGATGAAAATGTCAAAGTAAGTTAACTCAATTGATAAGGTTCGAACTTTCCATACACCATGCCGAAGTTCGAATCACGCAATAGTCTCCTTTGGTAGGGGATATGTAAATCTATTATAATAGGACCTCTTGGCAGGGAGTAACCTCCCATACTCAAAAAAATTTTCTTACAAAAAAAAAAAAAAGATGGAAAGAGTACATTCAAGACAACCATAATGACCTCAAGACATGGTAGTTGTGTTTGTGGACAAGGACAGCCCTGTGAAGGACGCCCGGGCCGACAACCTTGATATGATCTCATCGGTCACCATGGTAACCTCGTTGATAGAGAGATCGAGAGAGAGAAAGGGAGGGTGGGCTTGCCGGGAGGCCATTGTGGCAATAGACGATGAATATGGGCGGCGACAAGCCTCAAATGTAGCGGCAGCAATGTGCAAATGTTGCGACCGGGGTTCGGAAAGTTAGAAGAAAAAGGACTATTTTGTAAAGCAAAACCATAATGATAATTCGATCAAGATATAAATTAGTACCCAAATTCACACACAAGATGCAAAAAAAATCATCGAATTTAGGCACGGTAGGTACATCACAATGTCGACATTAGCGACTCGCACGTGATATACATGGCGTCGAATTTCACCTCCGATCCGCCCGCCATCGGTCCATCAACACCATGTCCCGTCGCCGAGATCGTCATTTCTCTCCGGTCCAACTAAAATAACTGGCACGCTCTCTCTCTCTCTCTCTCTCTCTCTCTCTCTCTCTCCATCTCCTCCTCTTGGATCTGCCTCGTGTCCAAAACGCACTTCCGATCTGCACTCTCTCTCTCTCCCTCGCCGCGCCGCACTGCTCCGCGATTCCGTCCCGGGCGCGTGGACTCTGCAGCTCCGATCTCTCGTCGATGGATCTGTAGAAGCGTCCCCCTGGTCCGATCCCCGCCGGAAGTCCCCCGCGCCCGCCGCCGGCGATGTTGCCGCCGAGGTTCTCGATCTTCGGGGGCGGCGATTCCAGGAAGTCGGGCGGCAGTAGGGGCCCGAAGAGCGAGCTCGCCTCGCCGCCCTCCATAAGGCTCCGCACGGACAAGGAAGTGTACAGGCCCGGAGATGCGGTGGTCGCGACTGTCGAGATCGTCACTCCCGACGCGGGCGGCGTGGTCAGGAACGGCTCGGTTTGCTCGCTCCTGATCAAGCGCCTCGGCTTCGAAATCAGAGGGATTGAGAAGTTGGATGCTCAGTGGTTCGCCACCCAGAAGCCCTCGCCGGAGTCCAGACAGCGCAGAGGTACGCTTTGGGATTCCGTTGGTATCGATGTAATTGACGAGGAGAGAGCGTCGGGAGTGTTGTTAGAATGTCGGGAATTGTGAATTCCGTAGGAGTCAGTTGGGGCCTTAAAGAGTATTGGGCGAGGAAGATTGTACTGTATGTCTAATTTAACTCGATACGTAGTGGCTGTATAGCAGGTGCCCACTAGAGGAATTTGTAGCGATTAATCATGGAGTATGAAGGTTTTCTGAGTTAAAATTTGTCGTATACAGGTGAATATGCTTTTATGGACTGCTCAGTGTCGTCCATTGTCTCGAATCAGATTGTTTCCTGTGGCACCACTAAAACCTGTGAGTGCATTTTCTTCTCTCTGTTATTCCATTTGCATGAAAAGTTTGGACTGATGATCAAGAAATTCGCATGGCAAAAAGAAACAATTAAGCTAGATTTTACATGGAACTCTGTAGCTACAAGAATGTTCTTAGTTTTCTTCCTCCAAATATAGAATCTTCCTTCCTTACTGTTGTTTCTGCATGAAGTCTGGTAATGGTAGGGAAGAAAACATTGTCAGATGGGAAACAGTTTTTATACTTTAGAAAAGGGAAAAGTCATTTACTGTTGGTGAAAGGACTTCCACAGCTTGTTGGTCAATCCAAGCACATGAATCTGGGATTGTCCACAAACTTAAAGTCGAGTGGGACTATAATAGAAAAGGGCTAATCCCTTTCTAGATCAGTATTGTTTAGCTAGTCTAGATTGCAGCATGCTCTGGATGTCCAAAAGATGACCAAATCCATAGTATGTTTGAAGGTGCTGGGTTTTTTTCTGATATTTTAGTAGTATCCATATTGTCGCCCTAGTATCCTGTTGTGCAATGTTCTTCATTGGAAGCAATAATTTTTAGGATTTCTGATGATTGACGGATGATTTGGGATTCTTATCCAGGGATAGAAGCATTTATCCTACATAAGCAAAGCATAATTTAAGGGTATCACCTTGAAGTAGGCTCCTATGGACCTCATTTAGTTATTAGTTGGAATAAGGTCACTGGTGAGACATTCTTCTTTCACATGATTTTAGATGGCTCATTATACCGCTGGTGGATTAGTTTCATAATATTTGTACTAGAAAGCTCAAGGTTCCATTTCACTCTTGAATGAGACGGACAGAAACCACCCATTGTTGTCTCGGAAATTTGTCATTCATGTTTCAGCATTCAAATTGTTACGTGCTCCATGCTTTATTTTGGCGTGATACGGAAATTTTTATCATCTCTAAGTGTATTATCAAATCAGCTTTTCTTGTTGTTGGTAGATGTGATTCGAGCTGTGCTGCCAAACATCATACCGCCATCATACAGAGGTGCTACAATTCGTTACTTGTACTATATAAAGACTATGTTATCAGGACAATGGCAGATTCTTGAAACTGGTCACTCTCAGAGGGAATTAGCGAAAGATCTCGCTGAATTGGTTTGTATTTTAGTTCATTCTTCATATTTGTTATTTGATATCGTGTTATCCAAAAGATTGCTAAATAATTCGGTTATCCTGTTCGTCATTTGAACTGTACTCAATGATCATTTGGTTGCAACTTCAAGTAGTTCCACGTCACTACTTTACGCCTGTTTTGTTTCTTAGAATGAGGGCATTGAGTCTGTTGCAATATCAATTGGTTTCTTTGAGTTCTGAAATCTCTTCTGAGTGATGAACAAGTGGCTATCTTTCTCAACTATGTCATTCTTGATTCCTATGAGGCACTTTCTTCTGAACTTGCGATATATCTGATTTGATAATGATTGGCAGAGTCGGTCTTTTGATTTATCTAAATTGACATTCTTCTTCCCAGTTGGATTAGGAAGAGCTGAATTTCGTGTTTAGGACTAATATGTGGTGAGAATCATGAAAACTGGAAAACTTGAAAAGGGGATCTAATTTAACTTTGGGAAAAAATTACTGAAACTAAGGAACAAGTGGAAAGGAGAAGACAAGAAGTTTAGCTTCTCAATTGACAGGCTGCTATTCCTCTCTCTGTAACGGTGGTATGTCTTAATACACGCAGTGTGCTTTTATCTTTTACTAAGGAGCAGACTTAATGTTCAACAGAACAGAACAGTCAAGGGGGCCAACTTTTGGTAGATGATCCTGTGAAAAGTTTTGGCTCTTTCTGCAGTTAAGTTGCTTATTAATTGCACACATGCAGTATGTGGAAAATCTATCACGTGCTTTCACGAAATAGCAATATGATTGCACCTTTTGTAAGGTGGAATACCACCAAGTACGAAATGGATTGATGCGGTTTAAGTTAAGCAGCATATTTTCCTTTAAAGATTCTCGTTGTGATTCTGATTCTCATCTGGCGTCGATAAATTAGTTTTCACAGTACAAGTTCATATATATTTCCTTGCTTAAGTCTTTAAAATCTGTTTTGGTTACATTAGACCTGCTTCTGTAGCTCATCCTGTTTAAGACCTCCTGCTAGCCTTATGGTGCTTAAGTTGGTTCTCAAAGGTTATGTACTGAGTGTTTCATATATATGGAGTTGCTGTGAAAACTGCCTTTCTATTCATGCAGATCGGACTCATTTCGTCTATAGCTCGACTTACTTTTGTTTATCACCATGTGCAGACATGCGTGAATGATGTGGCTGTATAGTTAATGAGCCTCAAGGCTATATCCTGGTTTTGTTGTTGTGTAGTGTGTCCAATATGTTTCTTATTGGAGCATATGATGTAAACTACAGGAAGTTCGTGTGCCGCTACAAGTTTGGGTTGATCAGAAGAATAGTGGGTTGCTATTGGATGAAGGTCAAAGTGAAGGTGAGTATATCTTTTGGAATTTCTTATGGTAAGAGTTGAGCCATGTCTGCACGTTGTTTTTTATTATGATGTGGTTATAGCTCTTTAAATAGCCTTCAAGATCTATATGACAATAAAACTTTGTTTCCCTATTTAACATGCAATCACAAGAGCTTAAGATGTGATGTAACTCATTTGACTGAGATTTGGATAAGGCAATTTATCCATTTTCTGTTTCTCTTTTTGTCAATTTCTTGGCTGTTTCTTCTTTTCTCTAAGATATGGTTTTTGATGATGACACTAAGCCTGGTCCTCTTTGCTTGCAAAACTACATTTGCTCCCGCAGTTTCGCTGAATTCTTTTTATGCTAACACATTTCATATAAACTTTTCCGATGGATAGTATGTATCTTATCTGTATGACCAATTTTGGTTTTTGAACTCTTTTTAGGTATCGTTCCTTTATCAACCATTCAGCTGGATATTTACTGGAAAGAGATGGATGGCGAGTCAGACTGGGTAGGTCTACATTGTTTCCCTTATCCGTTTTCTCCCATTGGAATTGCTAATAGCTTTTGTATTCAGCAACAGCATTTGCTGAGGCATCAAAATGAGAAGACCACTTGACAATTTGATATACTGTATAGGTTCGAGCAAATGACATATATGATGGAGTTGAGGAAGGTTATGATAGTTCAAGGGATGAGATATCATCTGTCTCCTCATATAACCCCAGTAGAGAAAATATACACAGAGCCTTCGGGAGTTCGCTCTCCTTGCAGTCGTCTATAGCAAGATCTTCAAGCAGAGATATATTATTCGCGGAAGGTGAACGGATGAGTCTATCATCAAATTTGGCACTTCCTCGTCTGTCTGCAGCGGAAATCCTCCATGAGAATGATGATGGTAATTATGCTTTTAAAGATTTATATTGTATAATAGCAATGCTGGCGAGTTGTGATTAGAAGTATACAATTCTGATGATGAACAAGAAAATCAAGATGTGTCTAAAGGATCATATCCTGTGGTCAGATTATTGACTATAATATCCTAGAAGTTGTTTCTCTTGTGCTTTAGCGAAGATCGCTACTTATAGAAGTATAACATGGTGAAAAGTTTAAAATAAAGACATATCAAGTACAATGGCTTTTGAATCTGCAGATATGACCATACCAATCTTATGATTTGGACTTAGGATAGGAAATGATCCTAGAAAATTAGGAATTTGTTAGGATTGGGCCACTCTTTAGGTGTTAGATCTTAGGATAGTATCGTAAGACCTAGATTGGGATTTTAACAACCATGATCACAGTAATTTTGAGAAGCTTTGGAAGTTAGTTGATGAAGAAGGAAAAGCTTCTTTGTTTCTTTATCATACATAATGACTCAATCAACTCCAGACAAAGCTAACTGACTTAACTTTGCAAATGGATGTGGAGCCCATACTTCAGCTGTTGCCTCTCCAAATGATCAGTCAAAGCTTGGACGATCTCTTTCAACAGATAACCATGAGGGAGCATTTTCCCCTAATGCAGGTAAACTGTGGCAACATCTTCTAGATGTTACTAAATGATTGCGAGACCATTACATCTTGGATCATAGCTGCTTGAGGCAAAAGGTCAATGAACTTATTTTCAGAAATGTTTCTTTGTAGAGGAAGGATTTATTCGAGCAAGATCCTACAATATCAGAATGGATGACCGTGTTCTGCTCAGATTCTCTCCAAAAAACTCAGACTCGACTTATTACTTCAGTGACGCGGTGATGACAATGATATGACTTGGCATTTTCTCCTCAAGTCTGTTTTTTTTTTCCTCTCTAATAAGTCATTGTTCGCAGATTGGTGGAACTCTAACCTTTTTTCCTGAGGAAGGAGCCCAGAGATGCCTTGAGGTAATTGCACCCAAGAAGTGACATAGAAATAATGATAAGAGGGCGGCTTCTGTATTCCTTCAACACGTTGATGAAGTGTTGGAGTCATTGCAGGTTTCCATAACATTGGAGATGTCAGAGACTATAAATAGGCGTTTTGTTCATCCTTCCAGGAAAAATTCACCTACCATCACAAAGGTACTTTAAATTTTTTTAAGCGCCTTTTCTGATACTCAAAAACTTTAGATCCAACCGTAATCATTTTTATATTGTTAACATTTCTTGTCATTTTTTAAAAACTTTTTCATCATAGTTGAGTCTAATATAGCTCTGAATGGAATAGCCAGCTAAATTTTTCTGCATAATCAGTCATAGGGATAGGGAAGTTGACATCAGTATCTTTGACGGAGAATATATGAGGACAGTGGTTATTGTTCAAGTACACGGTTTTTATGTGCTGGTGGTGGAATGGTAACTCCATTTTCTTATCTTGAAAGATAAGGATACTTTTGAATTCTTTGAGAAATATCTAGTGTCAGATAAAATGAAAGAAAACTGACTTGAAGAGAGGGCATGAGAGCAGAGTTTGCCTTTTGGCATTGGCAGTCCATCCTCGTTATTTCACGATTTATTGTCTGTGAATCACATCGTGCACGTTGTGAGTGTTATGTGTTAAACTAGAAGAATGTGCGACCAAAATAATACTGGAACCAAGGAGATCTGAATTCAATCTCTGTGGCAAAATTGTTGTTTTCCCTGCATCTCTCTTTATGCTGATCAAGTTTGTATTTGTTGATTATCACTAACAAGAAAGCCAAAAAGAAAGAGGATTGCTGTTTTGAAAAAACAAAATTAGGTAATGCTGTTAATTCGGGAACTTTTATTTGGCATTTGGAGACCGTTTTTGCCTAAAGCTTAAATTGGTAGAGAAAAAAAGCCAACAGTATACATCTGCGATGCTTCTTATTTCTCGCATGTAAGCTGGATTTTACATCTGGAATACAGGATGTGGATTTAACCACTTCCAACGGACAACCAAAGACAAACAAAATCACAGCAGGTAGGAAAACAAGCAGAATAACTATAAGAAGGATTGTCAGAATTTGAGTGTTTAACATGTGCTCAAATACCATGTTAGAAAACGTTTGTTCCCACAAATCAAGTCGTTAGTAAATAGGCCCACAGTCTTTATCTAGCAATATAACTGAATGATGTGACCTGGAGCTTTTTCTCTGATTAAATACTTGTTATGTGCGTAAATTTGATGGGCGATTTAAGAGAGTAAATTTTTCAATATTTAAATATGTAATTCTACGTCCCAAATTTAGATGATTCAAAGCTTAAGGGTTTTTTTTTTTTATCTTTAGCATAGGTAAATTTAGTAAGCATTGCAAGTTTTTACTAAGTCAAAATATAAAATCACGAGAAGTCCAAAGACGTACAATGCTCATGCACCTTTCTGCTTTTGCGGTCGTATTTGGGAAGCTTGTTTTAATGAATTTTTTTGCTCATACAACTTTTCCTTGAGGGATGCTTTGGGGATTACTGTGCTGCCAGTGCTGCAATATAGCATTCTATACAGAAAAGGTGCAATAGCATTAAGTGCTGCCTATGGCTCCCTTGGGGAGCATTGACAAAGGATTTTGATGATTGGCAACCTATGGAGAGTAGGAAAGTAATGATCAATATTATAGGGCTTCCGACACCTTAGACAGAGTTTGAAATTGTTTATCATATACTGATGCATTGTGAGTGGGTGCCTCAGTTCTAATAGAATGGAGGGAAAGGGGACCTACAGCTTTGGAAGTCGTAACATATGGATCCATTCTGTAAAGAAAAGATGTTTTACATTTCTAGATTACTGTACGGACAAAATCTTGAAACACGTTCTAGGAATTGGCATCCCTTACTTCTGAAAAAAGAAAGAGAGAGAGAGAGAGAGAGAGAGAGAGAGAGAGAGAGAGAGAGCGAGCTTGCTCCTTATACAGATTAATTCTGCTAAGGTCAATAAAACTTTGGCATGTCACTGCTGATATTTTTATTATACTGATGAAGGAACAGTGAGGAATTTGAGATGCTAATTTTCAACATCAAGAACTTTGAGTGCCTGACCATGGTGCTACTTTGAGTGCATTGATTGTTTTCTTTCTTTTTTTCTCCCATATTGTTACACTACCTTTGATTTTCTGCTTCATCTTCTGCTTGTAGGTTCAGAGCGATCACCACGAGGTTGTTGCGGATTTGGTGCAGACTAGCTTTCTTTTTTCCATCCCTATGGATGGGCCCATGTCCTTTGCCACTCCCCGCATCTCTGTGCAATGGGCTCTTCGTTTTGAATTTTATACCACCCCAAAGAACGTGGACTGGACAAGGTATGACAAAGTAGTATGAATATACACATCTAGCTCCTTTTTTTTTTTTTTTGATTTTTTTCCTGCATGACATTCTCGAGTGATGTGAGGCATCTTATTTTCACTCAGCTACTGCATAGAAGGTGTTTTGTTGTTACATTTGGGAGTTAGTGTTTCTTACATAAAGGTCTTTTGTGCTTGTCAGCTTACAAAATAATGCGTTATTGGACGACCAGTTGTAGTTCTCTCTTCACTTCTCTTGATGTTAGTTTCTGCTTAATTCTTGTTAGATGAGAAAGTTGAAGGACATGAGCCTATGTTATATCGGAATTATTGTTCTGGCTGACATCCTACTATTTGGAAAATAATCTTGTTCATGCTATGAACGTTAATCAGACCAAACTTGTATACCGTTGAGTAATTGATACATTATTCGATTTTTGCGAATTTAGATATGAGCATCCTCTTCTGGTAGAGGGAAGAGACAAAAGCGAGTGGGTTCTTCCAATTACAGTGCATGCACCTCCACCCGGACCTTCGGCTGCTCCGACCAGAAGCGAGAAATATTTCTCTTTGGAACCATTGTGGGGGTCATAGTGGAAGGTAATAAGATTCCCTGTTTTTCTCTTGTAAATGTCTCCCCTTTTGGTGAAACTAATTGTCTCCGTATATTGACATGCTATTTGCGCTTCCCAGGTTCATAGTGTTTTTTTGGAATTATGGATATCTTTACTCGCTTACGGATTCCGGAATCACATGCGATTCCAATGTGGAGAACATGAAGGAAGCACATCAAGGAGGAGGCAGGACATAGGTTCGTCATTCGACATCTTGCCCATCCTTGCACTGGAGAACGGACCAAACGATTGAAGTGGAAGTTGGTGCATTTAAAAGTTGGTGCAACTCTGCAGCCTTTGTTCTTAGCTCCATAACTAACCCATTCGGTGTGCCCTAGTTGCGTCTTGCTTAGTCAGCCATCTCATTTATGTGTCATCTCATTAAGTTTTAAATGCTCAAGCTGTTGTTGCTCCTAGATCCACATTTCAGCCCATCACAGAACGGAAATTTTGCTGTTTTTTCTTTCGTTCACTTTGTGAATATTGAGATGTACTAAAGCAGAATGTACATATCGAGGTCTTACATTTCATCAAAATCGATCCTCTGGCCTTATTAACCGATCCATTCTTTTTTTGTCTGTCAATCTTCTGTCGTAGCGAACTTGGATGAGCGTTAGAGTCAATCTTCATGATCGCTTTGAACTTTGGCACCTTAAATGCAAGAATGGGTGATTTTAGTAGGGACAATGTTCTGGGTTCATAATATGACAACTCTGAACTCATCTTTCTGGAGATATTTCCGGGCTCTATTTTTCACCAATCACCGGTCCCTTTCTCTTTTCAGGGAAGCAGGCTTATGTGCGTTGAAAAGCTGGCAATATGTAAACTGTTATCTGGAAATAGAAGCTTCAGAAAGTGGGAAAGATAGTGATATGTTTGAAGCGGTTTTTCCCACTTTCAAGTTGCAAGGACTTACTTTTCAGACTTGCAATTTTGCCTTTGGAATATGTCCATTAGGTTAGAGACGGAAAAAGTTCGAGAATTTTGTGCAATGAGGTGTATATAAAGGAACTGGAAATCTCATCTTCTTTTCATGTCTTCACACTTCCTTTAAACGTTTGTATGTACATTAAGTGGAAGAAGGAATTTGACCAAAAAAAAAGTGGAAGAAGGAAAATTCAACCATCCAATGACGCACGAGCTATAAAGAAAGCACAACCAAGAACATAGACTCTTAAGGAAAATCGATACCGATATTTCAATTGTGCTGCGGTTTCGCAGGGTACATACGTGTCTAGAAACCATAGTTAATATGGATATTTGAAACTTTGAGAATTTTGCACTTAATGCAGACTCTCAACATCACTTTTTTTTTTGGACAAAATTCTGATATTTCCACTTTCGAGAATTTCTCCCAAAATGTTAAGAAAAATCAATATTACAAACAACATCCCTATTCTTGAAAAATAGCATAGCAAGCAAGCCATTCAAGTAGTCTACGTGGAGAACATACTTGTCTAGAACAGACGTTGAACAATTGCAACTCTGAAAACGTAAGCGCGGTCGCAAAATTTGTTTACATCTATACCTTAGCATAACATAAGCGCTGTCGGACTTTTCTTGAGCAATGAACTGGTTCCACAGGTTTGCAAATTCTCGACACGCAAGAAACTTTCTTTATATTCACATCTTCTCCTGACATTTAATTTTTGATGCAAAAATATGGTTACCTATTAACTCAATTCTCTAGTAATATCTTTGGTTTCCACTAAACACCGCATCACCCTGACGACCCAGGCCAAAAATCACTAACCAAGTCACTAGACCACATCGCCTCTTTAGCCACTTCTTTTGTCTCTGTGTTTCCAACCTAAGTCGTCAATGAAATCGCTGTGTCCCTCAAAGACCCCTTCCAACTTGCAGCACAACTGACAGAAAAAGTACACGCACGACTGCTTATAAATTGACCATCGTTGAAGTTCCCACTTCATCCACAGTTTTGCAAATCCGGTTTTAACTACGCTATCTAAATTGTATCCTCCGAAAAACGCTTCCGTCGTCACCTTCAAGTTTAGGAGGATCTACTTCATAGCATCACAATGTATATTTGTAATAACCGTATCAATTCTCTAGACTGCACATGAAAAATCAAGCCTAGTACTGTTCGCAACTTAACTTGGACAACCAACACTACTAGCATGTGAATGCTCCCTAAAATGCAAGCCTAAAACTATCACCTTGAACTTTGGCACCTTAAATGCAAGAATGGTTTATTAAGCAGGGAACAATGTTCTGACTTCATACTTTGAGAACTCTGATCTCATATCTTTGGAGCTTTTTCTTTGGGCTCTGTTTTTCACCAATCACCAGTCCCTTTCCTTGTGCAGCAAAACAGCTTTATGTGCATTAAAGAGTTGGCAACCTTCAAACTTCATATAGAAATGAAAGCTCAAGAAAGTGGGAAAGGAAGAGCAACATGTTTGAAGTGGTTTCTTGCACCTTCAAGTTGCAAGAATGAGGACATATTTTTCGGACTTGTAATATTGTCTTTTAAGATAGAGAAGGCAGAAGTTCGAGAATATTTTGCCATGAGGTGTACATAAAGGAACAGAAATCTCATCTTCTTTTCATGTAATCTAACAATCAATACTGATATTTCAACTGTGCCTTTTTAAACCATTGTTAGGCTTCTCAAGATAGCATGGGATTAGGATTTAGGAAGCAATCATCGCTCATTTTTTGTGTTTTTTTTTGCTCTATCTGGGATTTGATCCTGGATATTCGCCCACACGCCAACCCCCCATATCGTTAGGCCGCATGCCCATTGTCCTGCACATGGTCTTTTGCAAAATGTAGTTCATGATTATATGATGATGAACGAAACTTTCATGTTACAGTTGTGATCCAATTAAAAGGAAAATCCTTCTCCATGAATCAGAAAAATTGCAGAAAGGTCAGAAAAATTGCAGAAAGGTCTACTTCCCTCTGCTCTGAACTCACTTTTCAATATTTGAAGTGATTAATGGTAGCTCACAACTGAAATTTTAGCTTGAGGACCACCCTGAACATACACAAACATGTACTGCGACCCAGGCTTCAAGACCTGCAAGTGAGGAAGCTGATAGATGTTCTTTTCTTGGGTGGGTGTGAGCCCCCACAAAGACCCTGAGATATTCTCTATCTGGAGCTTAAGATCTGAGACTGGCTTCTGTGATATGTTCTTGATGATGACCTGGTGCCGGTAATACGTAGCCCCTCCGTGGTTCCATGAGCTCGTTATCGAGTGAAGGAACTGAACAGGGGACTCTGTAGAGGTTGGGAAAAGTTTCACAACATTCAAATTTTAGTGACTTGGATTTAAATCACCTTCTGGAACAAGAGAAACAAATTTGTGTCACTCACTCGAACCTGTGTAGGCTGGTGGTGTTTTCTGGGAGTAGCTGCCTGCAAAATTAGAAGAGGAATCGTTCATCTTCATCTCCCCTCAAGGAAGTGAACTTTTAGCTTTGATGGTTAGAAGAAAATAGTATTCCTGGAGCTATGCTACTAAAAATACACCGATGTATTAGTGTAATCTAAGACGATAAGAAAGTCGAAACATGTAATAATTCAGAACACACAGTTCAACAGAAGATAAAGAAATTTTTTTTCAAGAATGTCTACTCACCAGGCGATGTTGAAGGAGTCCCTGGTCTTTGATCTTGATAGGAACCTACACCAAGGAGCCATACTAAGTAAGCAGAGAATATTGGAACACACGGTTCGGTTTCAGCGCAGCTCAAATATCCCCCCAGTTCTCATTGGTTTGATGTTATGTTGGACACATATCCCGAGATTTTTACCTGGCGCTCCGTATGCGCTTTGTAGCTTGGAGAAGAGGCCTATGAGTGGAGCACAGGCCGAAAGTGTGGGCTCGGTTTGCTCGTAATTCGATCTATCATCGTAGAACCCGTCGTTCTTGTCCGGACCACCCACAAGGGCACCATATATCACGTTCGGGTTCCCTTCGGGGCGGCGGTACCACGCATCAAAGCCTTGCACGCATCCGACTGCAGATTGCAGGACAGAGATAGAGGTGATGGAAGCGCCTCTGTGATGAACATGCGTGGGATAACTCTGTCCATATCCCACCAGGTAGCTTATAGATTTAGGATTCTTCCCAAGGATATAATCGCCCTACAGAATTCGATTGAGAATATAGTCAATTCGGGAAAAACTGAGAAGATACATAGTAAATAATCGCCCTGCTTGATATATGATCGGAAAATGAATGTGAAAGCATATCGAGTTTCTCGGCAAACTAGGACACATATGACTAAAGCGCATTCTCGTAGATAATATGCAGTAATCAACTAGTTATTGATGTGTTCCTTGGTAAGCAAGTAACTTGGTATGTGGATACCTGAGACTTGGCAAAGTTGAGAAGATCCTGAGGCTGAACTTGCCCGTTTGGACACGTGACCTTGGCCTTCGACGCGGACAAATAAACTGAGTAAACGGCGAGAAGGAATGATGCGGAAGACACGTACTGCATGTTGTTCCAATTGTGCATGTACATCAACCCACCTGAGGATTATAGAACAATAAATCGTCACATAGGCGCATCTATAAACTCGAAATCCATCAGACTTCCACGCCAAAGTAGCTTAAGCCACTAGAAGAACTGGAAGAGAGAGAGAGAGAGAGAGGCTGCGCGGCCGACCCGGAGTCCTGTTGACATTGTAACCGCCGTTCTTCTGCACGCAGGCACATGTGAAGTACTCTGCTTTTGCCTGGTATTGCTTTAGAATCGAAGCATACGGACTATGTGGGTTGTCCATCAGTACCTGCCATCATAGGCCAAGTGACTAAGTACATGAAATTGCCTTAAGTTATTGGGATTATGGAACTAAACTAACTCAGCAAATCTTAAATCAACGAAGAGCCGATCTTTAATCTTCGTGAAGCGGATGCCTCGGTTCAATCATTCTCGCATAGGAGGTGCCAGATCTGACAAGCACCTTATTAAAAGTAGCTATGGCTACAAGATGATGTGAACTAAGATTGAAAATCCAGGAAGTGAGCTATCTCAAAAGTGATCATTGGCTCGGAAGGTGGATCTAATGTGTTATCCAAGCCCGCACATAGCCCTGAACGTACATTGAAATGTTCGGACCTAGCCGCCAAAGTTGAGCTGGCCGGAAGGTCACTAGCCAAGCCTGCCTGTTCGTCGTCTGAGGTGGGCTTTGAGCCCGCCCTCCTGTACATAGGATCGAATGAGCATTTACCTTGGAGAGGAGGACTTGCACGCCAGCATACTTGGTGTCCCAAGAGAACTCTTTCACTCCCCAGCTGATCCCACCCATTGACCCTGCGTTGTCAATTGCATATTTCAAGTACGTCTGGTCGCCTGTTGCTCTGTACAGCCATGTTGCCCCCCACAACAACTCGTCCTTCAATATTCAAAAGTTTATAAATAGGTGAATAAATCTCGAAATATTGATAATTAGTCCAATTAAAAGGTAATTATGAACACAATATATATATATTAAAAAAGAATTTTTTTTTGCTTACCGAATAGCCCGAGGATGGATAGAACTGCTGAGCGGACTCGATCGAGTCGTCATATTGGCCTCTGAATCTATCCGCAAATGAGAACAGCTGCACATTTATTTGCACTTACTTGCTTCAGCATGTGATTAGTGCATGTTTAGAATATCATCGTTTTGCCGATTGTTTTAATCAATCACTAGAGCAATATCATCCTCGGACAACTTAGTTTAAATGGCGAATTTATATGAAATTATCCGATTTTCGAAATCACATTAACTGTTTTGCCTCCATTGTTTTAGAGAGCTGACTCACTTGCTTCGCATGGACTAAGAGGAGATTGGAGTAGGAGGAGTTGTAGGGCCGGAAAGCCAAGGATGCCGCCGCCAAGGCAGCGGCGGTCTCGCTGGTGAGGTCCGAGCCGGGATTCTCGTTATCGAGCTTGTAAGCGTTTCTAGGAGTCGTCATGTCCTCGGCTCGCTCCCAGCAATAGTGGTCCGAATTGCCGTCGCCCACCTGAAAAACGAATTAATCCTAACCTTAATAATGGAAGCAAACTGTGAAGACTCTGTCGAAATACAAAAGAAGGTTGTTGAGGGAAATCAAGACTCTACTCAACTAACTAGTGGCCGTTGTATACGTGAGTTTGGTCAACAAACATCCATATTATATTTGACCAATTAATGTCCAACCTCGTTTTATTGTCTCTGTTGAAAGATCCTGCTAATCTCAATAGAAGCATTCGAGCTTAACGTGATGATAAATCAAACGGAGCGACATGAATTCGGTTGATTGTCGGGAGATCATATAACGGGATCCGACGCCTTTTTTTCAATTAAAAAATCGAGCATTGATCAATGGTAGCGAGAGAAACGCGGCCCGACAATCAAGAGGCGTGCCGAGTTCGGCACCCGGTAGGCGAATGGGATAGATATAAATATGGTATGTACCTGAGCCCAGAGAACATCGGGTTGCGGGTGAGCCTTTAGGATGTAGTCGGTGCCCCAGCGGATGGCCCGCAGCGCGTGGTCCATCTGGTTCAGGCCGGCGATCTCCTTCCTGAACTCGGCCGCCCCCCACGCCAGCATCGTGATGGTGAACGCCATGGGAAGCCCGAACTTGACGTGATCTCCGGCGTCGTAGTACCCTCCGACCAAGTCCACCTGCAAAGTTCAGATCATTCCCACATCTTCTTAGCTTGCATTACATACACATGTGACCGCAAGCATCTAGCAGAATGTGACAACCGATGAGACAGAGACTGACCCCTTGAGAGAAGCCGTCGTGGACGGCGGAGTCGCCGCGCCACTTGACCCGATGGTCGGTAGGGAGCTTCCCCGACCTCTGCGCCTCGAAGAACAACAAGCTCGTCTCCACCGCATCCCCGTAGCTCGTGGCGGAGCTGCTGGACACGCTTAACGAGATCAATATCGCCGCCGAGACAGCAAAACCCGCCGTGAGCGACTTCATCGTTAGCTCCATCTCTCTCTCTCTCTAAAATTTCAGCTGAGAAAATGTGCGTGAGCCTGATCTTAAATAGAGAGAGAGAGAGAGAGGCTTGCATGTTTCTTGGAGGATTGCTGGAGGCGTTGGTAGCCTTCACGTTGTATGGTAAGAAGAAAGTTCGGAGCTGCCCACGTCGTAGTGTTTGCAAGCTGAGATGAAGACGCGCGACGTGTGCCAATCTGGGCCGTCCATCTAGTCTCCGCGTCGGGTAATCCAACGAGTACCTTTCTGGGGAGTTTTAATTATAGGATAATTAATTAGAGGAATTTTCCGATAATTATAATTAGTTTTCAAAGATTTCCAGGTCGGTAGGCGACCAAAGGATGAGAGGCAAGGGAAAGTTGAGGGGCACACGTTTGTGCGCGCGCGAGAATTTCGAAACAAGAAATAAAATAAATTATTTTTTATTATTAGGAAATGAATATTAAATTGTTCTAGCTAGGGTCATAGATATTCAACTTAAATTTCGATCCTGTGACATACGTATGGAATTAGAGATTATTATTTTGTGAACTCTTTTGAAAGTACCATTTTTGTCCACTATTTTTAGAGCATGTGATCTAGTATCCATGAGATATCAACTTTGGATATTTATAGAAAATTTTGCTTATCTTCATTGATCATGGTTAGCCTAAATTCATCGTAAAGTCGGTTGTATGTTGTTTCACTAGTTATTTAGTTATGGATTTTGTCGGATGATAGTTTAAGCACTTGTTAAATGATAAATTTCGTAAAAATCCTTTAATTTTGTAATTTATAGTTTCACCCTTTGGTGACATGATGTATAAATTTAGCTTGTACGCTACCTTTGGGGTTTGTAAAATACCCTTTCATTTCGTAAGTTCCTTTTTCGTAAAGTGATTTCAATAATATTCCATTTGCTAAATAATTTTTGTGAATTATCTTTTGTTATAAATTACATGTGAGTCGATCGTAAAATAAACTTTTAGTTTTGTAAATTCCTTTTTCAAATAGATTCTAATGGTTTAATATTATTGTATCATAGATATGAACAAAGTTGCTTAAGTCACCCCTTTGATTTGTAAAATAACTTTTGGATGCGTAAGTCAACTTTCTTCGTTTGCATTTACCATCGATAATATCTTTGTTACACTGTAAATGATAAATAAAGTTTGTAAAGTACCTCCTAATTTTGTAAATTACCAAGTCAATGGTAAGGCCTTTTGTAATAATATTGTGTGTTGTATCGTTATGGATAAATAAAATTTGTAGATGACTTTTTGAACACTGTAAAATATTTTCTCGTTTTGGAAATTATATCTTCATTTGTATCGTAAATGACAAAACAAATTTGTAAATAATTTTTTCTGTTCGTGGGATACTCCTTTTATTTCGTAGATTCCCTTTTGGGTTTGCAAATTTTGTAAAAAATCCTAAAAACTGCAAATGACATTTATCGGATCGTTAATTACCATTTAAGTACCATTTAAAGTCATGGGATTAGGAGTGTGCAATAGGAAACACCCAAACCGAGAATCATTTGAACCGGACCAAACTGACCATGACTGATTCCCAGGGGCACCGGTCTGATTCCCGATTTCAAGGTGGGAATCGCTAATTCGGGACGACCCGGCTTGATCCGGGCCTTGGGGTATACGCTAAACAGGATCTTGGGCCGGATCTGGGCGGGTCAAGTGCGACCCTGTTGGTTTCAGATCGGATCGGGTATCATGAAAGCTCGACCCGACCCGTTGACACCCGTAATATTTTCTATGCATCAGATAACCCCAAACCTCGAGAGGCCGCGCTGTCGTCACCCCTCCCGCTTAGCTCCATGCGGCGCCGTCTCCGGCCGTTCTCTCGCCCCCCTCCGAGCTGCCACGGATCGCAAGCCGGAAGTGAATTGAGAAGCTTCCCTCTTTCTCTCTCTCACTCTCTCTCCAAATTGGTTTGAGCAAGTTCTTGAATTCTTGTTTGGTCATCTTCGAATCCGAGCTAAGCGAAGGAGTGATAGCATGGCGGAAGAGAAGGAAGAAGTGAAGACTTTCAAGGAGCTGGGCATATGCGAGCAGCTGTTGGAGGCTTGCGAGACCCTGGGATGGAAGAATCCGACGAAGATCCAAGTTGAAGCCATTCCTCATGCTCTCGAAGGTACCCTTTTCGTTCTCAATTTTCAATCTTGGGATCGATTTGGATAGGTGAAATGTGTTACGTCGATGGGTCGGTCGACTCAAGGCCTAGAATATGAGCGAGAATGCAAGATTATCGAGTTGTTTCTCTCCATGTTCCGCACGAGCAATGAGCCGGTACTTGTGTAGATTCTGTTTTATTAGTCGTTAAAGCACCAAGCTTTCTTCAGATTCTGTATGTTACGTGGAAGCTTGATGATGAAAATGAGTGGAGTGTGCACTTAAAGGTGTCTGGTTCGCATATTTTTGATAGATTGTAGCTAGTTCAGAGCATTAAATCGTCGAACATGTCGCTTTATGCGCGAGACAATAGTGCTCTGGGATAAATGAAGGCGGATGCAATATGAAATGTTTGTCTTAGCTTGGTTTAATGGCTCCTTATTGACATTGCGATTTTTGGCTAACAGTGTTGACCAGACTGAAGTTACTCTGATGAGATGTAGACGCTATACACTAATTGATTTCCCTTTGCTTCTCTGCCTTTTGTTCCATAGGAAAAGATATGATCGGTCTTGCGCAGACAGGATCCGGCAAAACTGGGGCATTTGCCCTTCCTATACTGCAAGCTCTATTGGACTCTCCGCAAGCGTTCTTTACTTGTGTGCTCTCTCCTACGAGGTTGGAATTACTTCACTTTATTTGGCGACAAGCTGACGCTGTGGCATCGCCAGGTGTCTTCCCGTAATTAGTGGATAATGTGCCGTTTTATTTCTAGGGAACTAGCAATTCAGATTGCTGAACAATTTGAAGCTTTAGGATGTGGCATCGGAGTCAGATGTGCTGTGGTAAGCTTTTTGCTGAGTAATAACATTTCAAGCATCTCAAGAATATATTTCTGTATCATGGGCACAATACTCTGATTTTGCAATAAACTGTGGTGTTTGTAATCAAGATCCCCTTTCCTGTTTACTTTGAAAAGTTGCCTCGCTGCTGGTATGAACCTTTTAATAGTGGAATAGATGGGCCCTTTCACATGTATTTGCTTTGCATTTTTGTTTGATTCATATCAGTGAACTTTCTCTCATTGCAATTAGTTGGTTTTATCAATGTGTATGTCAGCTGCCCAAATCTGCATCTTTTGGTATTTGTGAAAAGATTTTATTCTTTTAGAAAATGAAAGTCTCCTTTTAGGAGTATAATGTGAATAACAGAACATAATAATGAACTGATTTGCACCTAGCTTTTTTTATCCCCTCATTTGAAATATGTCTTGGTTTCGGCATCTGTGAGCTCCAATGTCAGAAGTAGATTGAAGTAGATTCAGTTGGTGATTGAGCTTAGTCTATCTTCAAGCAATTCTGCTAGTAGTTTTCTTTTTGTCCTTTTGTCTTGGAGGGACATGTTCTGCAGTTGTTTGATGAAAATTCCAGACAGCAATTCTGCATTTGCACATGACTGAGAAGAATACTTTCTTGATGCTGCTTCCTTTTGCAGCTTGTTGGTGGAGTTGACATGGTGCAACAGGCAATTGCCCTCGCAAAGCGGCCTCATATTGTTGTAAGTGCTCACTGATTAGAACTTCATCTCTCAAGTATCCGTTTCAGAAGACTGCTTGATTTGTCTTTCATATTTGGGGTTACTTAACTGAACTAGTGGACATGAGTTGTCTCAGATTGGCACTTCCCTTCTTTCCAGAATATATCGACCATTTGCTGTTATTTTGCCTGTTAGTTGAGCTTAACTTTAAAAGTTGAAATTCTAAGCTCATTTAAACATTCAGTAGATAGTTTCAAAATCTTGCTTGATGCCTTTGGGCATTTTATTAAATGTTGAGGCTATCGTACTTAAGTTGTTTGTATGTTAATCTCTTCTAAGATGCATCATCTATAACTGCTTGCTTAGTGAGTGCTATATTCCGTCCATATTTGCCTTTTATCTCTGTTCTTGATTTTTGTTTGTGTAGTCACTGAACTAACCTGCTATTCGGTAAATTTATTAAGATACGTCTATTAGGTCTTCTGCTGATACTTATTATCTTTTTATGTCTTTTCTTGGACAGGTGGGAACGCCAGGACGTCTTCTTGATCATTTGTCCAACACCAAAGGCTTTTCTCTTCGCATGTTGAAATATTTGGTAGGCAATTTATACAGTGTGAGCCATGCAAAAAAGATTATGATGTAGGTTATAACGTTCTGTATGTTCGATGCTTGGGGAAATATTCCATCAATTTATTCATACTAAATCAAAGATTAACAAATTTTTCCTGAGCTTTTCTCTGGTTCAAAATTTGGACTAGGTTATATTTCATGCTGTTATATTTCATGCTTCGAAGAAGTCATAAAACATTGTGCCTAGTGCACTGTTTCAGAGAGATTGGACGTGATCGTTAGAGAGAACTTATCGAAGGCAGTATGTTGCTAGAAATTATACGTCAAGTGGTCTGTGGTGACCGTGTTCGTATGGATTGCTTAATAAGCGAAGTGCATTTAATATTTAGGATGTACTTAGACCCTGACCCAAACTTCTAACCAGAAATCCTTTAGGAAGGTGAGTTTTGAGTTCTTATTCTAACTTGACAAGCATTTTACAGTTTGATTTGGAGTCATTCTAGTTGCAACATGACTACTACTTGTAATGCCGATACTAACAGTGATGCAACATCTGCTCTTCAAACAGGTATTAGATGAGGCTGACAGGTTGCTAAATGAGGATTTTGAGAAGTCCATCGATGAAATTCTGAATGCTATACCACGTGAAAGGAGGACATATCTATTTTCTGCCACTATGACAAAAAAGGTATTTAAAGATGTCTTGAAGTAGATACAGCTTGGCAATTTCGTGGTGCCATTTAATAGGGATATTTGTTTTATCATTAAAAGTAGTTGAAGTAACA